GTGTTTCTTACATCACTTCTATTTTTTAGCATGTAAGCCAATTAACAGAAAATAAAAATTGATTTCCTTTAATATGTTTTTACAAATTTATGAACCACCAACAACCCTTAGTTCGCTACCTAAACCTGGTGATGTCCATGGGGTCCTGTTTCTTGTGTAGAGATAGTGCTCCTTGCAGTGCACGCTTGCATATAGTTGGGTAATAGGCTGGAGCCTCCATGGATAAGTCTTTGGAGAAACCAGAAAGCAATATAAGAAAAACAAACATTATATGCAGGTAAATCCTAATAAACATATAATATATCATGGTTGTGATATTTTTGCAGAGTGATTCAAAATACAAACAGATAAATTTCACTGATCAGGCGTTTCTACATGAACCGATCAGTGAACTTAATCCCTGCTGGCCTTGGTATCCAGCTCCACACCGACTGAGCGCAGGGATCGCCGGGTTAGCACAGCGAAGACTTCCCCCTCCCAGTTGGAGATTTTACCGGCGCAGCCGTGGCCAATTTTGATTACCTTGGATCCAGAACAGGTTAAAAACTGTTGCACACTCTAAGCTGTATTGATTTCTATCGTGTTTTTTTATAGACTGGGTTCATACTTGAAGAATGAGCAGTTTAGCATCGTGCTGATAATCAGCCGTGCTTGTTTGGAACTGGCAAGAGTGTATTACATTAATTGCAACTGTTTCTTTCCTCACATTTTGTATACATTGTTTTTATATTGTACATTTTCTTTTTGTATATGCCAAATGGAGTGTAGATTCAATTGATGTTGCAACAGTATTTACATTTTTTAGATTATTTTATCATAGTGTGTACTTTATGTAGCTGTATTCTTAGCGTTGCATTAACTTAGGTTTTTCTATTTTGCTTATTAAAAGAAAGCCACAGGACTTTTTCTGTAGGGGCCAGCTATAGATTACTTGTGGATCTCATTTGCTTTACAGTTACCACCCCCTTCATCTTTTATATTTTTTTGGATAGCGCGATCTCTGTACATTTTGCCACTACATTTTTTTTTTAAGCTACCTCAATGTAAACTTATAATACATACAATTTGTGGATGACGTGAACATGATAATTTATATACATCTGTACTTTACTCAAATTTATAAATTGTTTTCATTTGTCAGATTACATTCTGATTTGTCACAGGTGGAACCAGTTACAAAAGTAATCTCAAAAAGTATCAAACTGTTCATGAACTATGGCACATTATTCCTGACCCTATAGTGGTAAAAACACTATCTAGCCCCATGGCCTCACTAAATATAGTAAAATCTTACTATTTTCCAGTCTGCTGGTGCTGGCTTTGCCCTAATCTGCCTCCTTACATAGAAACATAGAATGTGACGGCAGATAAGAACCATTCGGCCCATCTAGTCTGCCCAATTTTCTAAATACTTTCATTAGTCCCTGGCATTATCTTATAGTTAGGATAGCCTTATGCCTATCCCACGCATGTTTAAACTCCTTTACTGTGTTAACCTCTACCACTTCAGCTGGAAGGCTATTCCATGCATCCACTACCCTCTCAGTAAAATAATACTTCCTGTTATTATTTTTAAACCTTTGTCCCTCTAATTTAAGACTGTGTCCTCTTGTTGTGGTAGTTTTTCTTCTTTTAAATATAGTCTCCCCTTTTACTGTGTTGATTTCCTTTATGTATTTAAATGTTTCTATCATATCCCCCCTGTCTCGTCTTTCTTCCAAGCTATACATGTTAAGATCCTATAACCTTTCCTGGTAAGTTTTATCCTGCAAACCATGAACCAGTTTAGTAGCCCTTCTCTGAACTGTCTCTAAGGTATCAATATCCTACTGAAGATACGGTATGCAATACTCCAAGTGAGGTCTCACCAGTGTTCTGTACAATGGCATGAGCACTTCCCTTTTTTCTACTGCTAATACCTCTCCCTATACAACCAAGCATTCTGCTAGCATTTCCTGCTGCTCCATTACATGGTCTGCCTACCTTTAAGTCATCAGCAATAATCACCCCTAAATCCCATTCCTCAGATGTTGAGGTTAGGGGGGGCCGGAATATGACGTCATATTCTGACTAAGCTGCGCGCGAGGGCGGGGGAGCAGAGACAGAACAGCTCCCCCAGAGGCTGCCAGCAGACCTCCTCAGCAGCCGCCAGCAGACCTCCCTATGCAGCCATCAGACCTCCCCCTGCGGCCACTAGCACACCCAGCCGGTCACCCACAGGTAATTTGTGTCATTCTGTCAGTGTGAGTGTATGTGTGTGTGTCTGTGTCATGGTGTATGTGTGTGTCTGTGTCATGGTGTATGTGTGTGTCTGTGTGTATTTAAAAAGTGTTTTTACTCACTTTTTTTTTTCTCCCCACGCCGTGCTGGTCTCCCCTCGACTGGCCCTGCCTCTATGGCTGAGATCATCAAGCTTGATGATCTCAGCCAATCCAATGCTCTGCCATAGGATTGGCTGCAAAGGCCCTGAATGTAGGTGCTGCACACTGTGCAATCACACTGTGCAGCACTGACACAGGAAGCACCTCTAGTGACTGTCTGAGTGACTGTCACTAGAGGTGTCACTAGGAAGCAATGTAAACACTGCCATTTTTCAGAAAAGTCAGTGTTTACATTGAAAAGCCTATAGACACCAGAACCACTACATTAAGCTGTGTGTGTGTGTGCGCCTGCTACTGAGTGAGCTAGCTTGCGTGTGTGTGTGTGTGTGTGCCTGCTAGTGAGTGAGTGAGCTTGTGTTTTTATGCCAATGAGCTTATGTATATCAGTGACATTGTTTGTCTATGAGGCTGTGTATCAATGAACTTGTGTGTGTCAGTGAGATTGTCTGTGTCTGCATGTGAGTATGCTTAATGTATAATTAAACGTTTTACTCTGAAAGGACCAATATTATATATTAGAAAAAGAAATATATATATATATATATATATTACTCAACCATCTGGGGTGGCAAGACATTGCCTTACATATTACATACGGCAATATATGGCGCTATGACTTATGGGGCTGGCATAGATTTTTTTTCCAGGGCTGCTTTGTATCCCCAGTCCGGCCCTGGTCCCTAGGCAGTAATGCAAACACTGCCCTTTCTCTGAAAAAAACAGTGTTTACTGCAAAAAGCCTACAGGGACTGATTATATTCACCAGAATATAACAAGCTGTAGTTGTTCTGGTGACTATAGTGTTCCTTTAACAACATTTATTTACAGTGTGTGTCTGTATACAAACACTATATATATATTTGGCCCTGCGATTTCGTCATTTTTATGAAAAAGGGGGCGTGGCCTGGCGAGGAGCTTGGTGCTGGAACTTTAATAATATAAAGGGTCCAAATTTATTTTTTATTAGGGGTAAGTTCATATAAAAGCAAGAAAGAAGGTTGGGCGACCTGTCTTTCTTGCTTTTATATGTTGACTATAGTGATCCTTTAACCTCACCTGCCTGGACTAATCAAGAAGCTACAAAAGGCTACACCCAATTTACTAGATGGCCTTTACAATGAAGTTGATGCTCATCCTGAAAGACTTCAGTTCCTGGCTTCTGTAAACGTTCATGTGGACCTACGCTTCTATTCTGCTTAACAGCTTTATACCAACCTGTTCCAAACCTGCCTAACCTACACTCGTATCCTGCTTTATCCTGCCAATTAGCTTTATACCGACCTGCACCAAACCAGCCTAACCTACACTTCTACTCTGCTTTATCCTGCCACTCAGATTTACACCAACCTGCATAACATCAATCTGGACTTTGCCTCTAATATTGCAAGGTGTTATTTCTATACCTTATCAGTACTCCTTCCAAGAGGGGGCTGATTCACTAAAGTCTTCTTTCCTATTTTCCTGAAACCTTGTTGTTCCGTTCTGTTTTATTATTTTATACTTGTCCCTCTATATTCAACCTATACTTTCATCTATAGGTTCTCTTATTATCTATCTACATTCTGTTTATTATCTATATAGGGCATATTGCCTAAACCTTTGTTTCTCTTATTTTCCTTCTCCCTATTATTTAATTTATAAGATATCCTGCTGTTTTCTATTATGTCCAAACTTACCAATAAAGCCTCTTATGTTAACACTGGCCAAAGTCTCTTACCTGACCTGCTCAAGATCATGACAGATAATATGAAACATGCCTTTTTTGTAACAATGCAAATATTAATGTTGAATGGTGAAGTTCATGTGAAATTTTTTATTATGTTTCTTGAAGTGCTTGCTATGGCATTTTAATGTTACTTATCTGTGTTGTCAAATTAATCAACAAATACTCATTAAGAACTTGAGATCTACAAGGCTCTTGGACTGTTAACAGGTCCTGCAACCTTACAAACAAAAATGACATTCTTTTGCTCTCCAGCAGCAACAAACTCCAACTTATTATTATTATTAATATTTGCATTTATATAGCAGTAACATATTCCGTAGCACTTTACAATATTTTGAGAGGGGGTATTTAACTATAAATGGGACAATTACCAAAAACAAAACAAAACTTACAGGAACAATAGGTTGGGTCTTGCTCAAACAAGCTTACAGTCTATAGGAGGTGGGATATAAAACACATTAGGACAGGAAATCGCAATTAAATAAGCTGGGAGTGAAGCAGAAATGGAGGAGAGAGCAAAGTGCTGCCCTTTAGGAGAGAGCAAGAGACAGGTATGTGAGTTAGAGGTTACTCTGGGAGGCCACAAGCTTTCCTAAATAGATGGGTTTTAAGGAACTTCTTAAATGATTGAAGACTAGGAGAGATTCTGATGGTTGTAGGCAGGCTATTCCATAGGAAGGGAGCAGCCCCGGAGAAGTCTTGCAAGCAGAAGCTGGCTGTATGTGTGCAAGCAGTGGACAGCAGAAAGTCATGAGCAGAGCAGAAAGACCAAGATATACCTAACATATATGTTAAAGACTCCTTACTGATGGCTGATGTCCAGGCCACTTAATGCCTTGATGGTGACCACTGTACCTTATACAAGGACCATTTAAAGGCTTCCTAATCATAGCATAGAGTTTGCCCCAGGCATTAACTAACTGTGTACATTACTATGGCACAACATTGGGCACCTGGTTTGTATAAAACTAATGCTGGCAACTATACTCCATCTAAACCTGCTCTAGATTTCAGATTGCTGTGATAGGTTATCACAAAGATCAAACATAAGTGCGATAAGCAAGCAGGCACTCACCCTGAGCAGATGAGCAATATTCACTCAAAATCTAACCAGTAATCTACATAAATATAGCTCCAAAACTCTGGATGATTATGTTAGATTTAACTCATCAGCATAAAGTTGGTTACTGGCTTGCTATTGAGGCTTGGTAGTACTTGTGAAGCAAAAACCAAGAAAGTTATTTGGGGAAAAATTGTGATTGAAAACCCCTTTCCACCGGAAGTCAGTGGATAGTCAATACAATGTTAAACAAAGATCTGCACACCAGTCAAGCCATAAGACTTGCTTTTCCCACAGAAATCACAAATGGAGAAAAAATGTGATTCCTTGTTGAACTAATTTGCATATGCCCACTCAGAATTCTTTACGGTAGTAACATCACTGCAAATTTGTAATTTCTGTGGGAAAGGCAAATCTTATAGCTTAATTGGTGTGCAGATCTTTGTTTAAAATTGTATTGACTATCCAATATATATATATATATATATATATATATATATATATATATATATATTTTTTTTTTTAAATTTATTTAAAGGAACACTATAGTCACCAGAACAACTACAGCGTATTGAATTTGTTCTGGTGAGTAGAATCATTACCTTCAGGCTTTTTGCTGTAAACACGGTCTTTTCAGAGAAAATGCAGTGTTTACATTACAGCTTAGTGACAACTTCACTGGCCACTCCGTAGATGGCTGTTAGAGATCCTTCCTGGGTCATGGCTGCCTAAAATGCTTCCAAACATTCAGTGTCTCCACCCTCTGCATGCAGACACTGAACTTTCCTCATAGAGATGCATTGATACAATTAATCTCTATGAGGAGATGCTGATTGGCCAGGGCTGTGTTTGAATTGTGCTGGCTCTGCCCCTGATCTGCCTCCTTGTCAGTCTCAGCCAATCCTATGAAGAAGCACTGTGATTGGATCAGGCCACCACTTTTGAGGATGTCAGCAGACAGCTTGTTTTTCCTAAGGAAAACAAAACTACAGCTTCAGGCTTGAATTCAAGTAAGAATTTATATATTTAGGGAGGCATGAGGGGATCAGGGTGGCTAGATGGTGGCTTTAACCCTATAGGGTCAGGAATACATGTTTGTGTTCCTGACCCTATAGTGTTCCTTTAACTAACTCTACAAATCACAATCCAAGGTGCTGGATTCTTCATGCCATTGCAAAATTGTAGTGAGAGGGAGAGACATTGTGTGCATATTTTAGGTACAACATCATATGTTTTATAAACAAAATGATTGACTACAAGATGACACTGATGTTAGAGATAAAATTCTGGGATGTATTACAATTCCTTGTACATCACCATATCCTTTGTAACACTTACAAAACTGAGATATATGAGAAAGTGTATGGTTTCATATAAAGTAACAGACAGCACGAGATCATAAAAAGTGAATAGTTAGGGGTATTGAACAAACTCATATATGGTGATAATGACTTCCTGAGATGTTTATACATCCTGCATTTTCTTGACAGGCAAAACTATATGGCCTGTGTCTGTGCAAATTGTGACCATGTTTTATCACTGATGAAGAATTTTCTCACATTTTTGTGCGTTGTTTATTGAATATGTTAATACTATAATAGTGTGCTAAAAATAGTACTTGTATACATGATTCTGCATGAAGTGTGCATTAATGCACTAACGCTGCAAGCTCCATATTAAAATTGGGTATGATCCTACATCAAGAAAAAAGAGAGAACATGGAAGCTGAGAGAGCACTCAAAAATGGGGTTAACCCACAGTAAACTACCAAGGTAGTGAGAAGGAAAAAGGAAAGAAACTCAGAGTGCTCTGAGGTGTGATGGGTTTAAAAATTAACTTTTAATCGTATAAATGTAAAAAGAGAGAAAGAAAGATAAAGAGAACAAAATCCTGACGCGCGCGTTTCGCCCACAACTCATCAGAGGGGAGCCGATGTGTGGTAAGTATCAGCTATTTAAAGGTCGTAGATCAAGCTGATAGGAGGAATTTGAAAAAGACCGCTGTTTCAATGTGGCCAATGAGGATTCCCGGTAAGTATGACAATAGCCAATGAGGTGGTATACTTAATTAACCCTATCGGGTACATTGTCCTGAGGTACTAGGAAGATAATTAATAGTGTTCAACCAACTAAAGAGGGAAGGAAAACGAATTTAAAGTGTAAGATAACCTAAAACAATGAAAGGATACTCACTTTCATGTGTATTTCCTAAAACGATGTCCAAAAAGTAGAAAACGGTTCATAACACTGTCCGATCATTGTGACAGTATATGGAAATAGACAAAGTTAGTATACCAAGGGAAATTAAAAAACAATACAGCCCATGAATAATTTGGATAAACCGGACAGACATCAATGGACAAATTGGAGAATGTCCAAAAATTAGTTCATAAAACTGTCAGGTCCTTGTGGCAGTGTATAGAAATAAACAAAATTGATGTTCCAGAAAAAATAAAAGAGCAAAATCGACCCATAACTGACTTGTACACATCAAGTAGGTACCGATGGATAGATGGAGAGAATAAATAAAAAATGGATGAAATAAATAAAAAATGATATAACAAAATTAATGAAAAAATGAATGAAGAAGAAAAAATGATAGTGATAAAATATATATATATGATAAATATATAACGCCCTGAACACATCCAGCTAGATATTGAGGTGCACACAGACTACCTAGATACATGCAACCTAGATGTATAAGAATTTTACCAATATACAAAAAGGGATTGATAAGGACACGACACTGGGACCAAAATCAAGGTGTCAATCCCTGGGGAAAAAGACACCTAATGATTTTAAAGACTGGAATAAAGGTAAAATATTATACAAAGTTACCAAGTGTGGATCAAACAACTGAAATGACAGGAAGAACGGAAAATAAAAATAAATGTAAAATTGGCTTAAATTGCTGATAAATCTCTTAGGTGCCTATATTAAGATGATGGTTAAGGAAACAATTGAATATTAGAACAATTATTAAATTTATAAAATACTATACAGTGGCACTTCGGGATTCTAAGACCCCAATGCAGGCGCACTGTAAATAAGTGAACGTCAATGCATAAATCCACTAAGTAATCCACTGAGGCTAAGTTTGGGGACTTGAATTGTGACAATGAATAAATGTAAAATACTGAGGATACTTAGATAAAGAAATCCAATAGAGGTACACCTTGGTGAGAGAGGTTTTGGACTCACTGAATAAAAAATGAGAGCCTATGTAAGCCAGATAATGCTGGGAGCACGATTGTGCTTATAGCTAGATAGAGGCTAAACTATGCAAGAAAAATTATTAAGCCCAGAGAGGATGGTACATGGTCCACAGAGGATAATCATAATACCAGATAAAGAGAGGAGATACTGTAGGGATATTATCAAATCTAACATAGTGTTGTAAATCCGGTCTAGAAACGAGAGAAACCCCCCCCCCCCCAAAAAAAACCACGGGGACTAAATTCTGTAACATAAACTCTAATGTGAATGAATAAAAGGAGTGAAGTTGAATTCTTCATTTAGACCACCAGGGGCCAGACATCTAAATTCATAGATCCACCTAGACTCTTTCTGAAGGAGTATAAGATTGAAATCCCCTTTTCTAGAGTTCAAGTTAACTCTCTCTAGGGCCTGAAAAGATAAATGGTTCGGATTTCCATCGTGGAAATTACGTACATGGTTAGCGACAGGAGTACTAAGATGTGGATTTCTTACTGAGTATACATGTTGCAGGGTCCGTCTCCTTAGCTCTTGATAGGTTTTTCCAATGTATTGCATGCCGCAAGAGCATGTAATTACATATATAACGCGTGTAGTACTGCAGTTTATGAACTGATTAATTTTGAATTCTTTCTTAGTATTGGTGCATTGAATCGTTTTAGACTGTTTAATGTAGGGACATGCTTTGCAATGTCCACATTTGTGTATTCCTGTCGGTGCAGTGAGCCAGTTTGCAGATGGTGTGTTTCTTTCAAAGTGACTATGTACCAAAAAGTCACTGAGGTTTTTAGACCTACGTGCTGTAATGTTAGGGTAAGCAATTGCTTGTGATTTTAAGTCCTTATCGTATTGTAATATTGGCCAATGCTGAGTAAATATTTCCTTAATAGGTTGCCACTGTCTGCCAAAAGTACCAATACATCGAATCAGTTGGTTGGGTGGGGTAGCCTTGCTTGAGTGAAGGCTGGAACTTCTATCCTGGGACAAGGCTCTCTGAAACGCTTTTTTAAGTTAATTAAGTATACCACCTCATTGGCTATTGTCATACTTACTGGGAATCCTCATTGGCCACATTAAAACAGCGGTCTTTTTCAAATTCCTCCTATCAGCTTGATCTACGATCTTTAAATAGCTGATACTTACCACACATCGGCTCCCCTCTGATGAGTTGTGGGCGAAACGCGCGCGTCAGGATTTTGTTCTCTTTATCTTTCTTTCTCTCTTTTTACATTTATACGATTAAAAGTTAATTTTTAAACCCATCACACCTCAGAGCACTCTGATCCTACATCAAGTAATTATGTAGCCTCTAAGTTCTGTTTTTGGATTCATCATATAGTCACTGGAAGTGCAATTTGTGATGGTGATTTTGGCTCTCGTGCTATTTCTTAAGGATTAGTTGCCCAAAAAACTGTGAGATAACACTACAGAGTGGAGAATTAACGCGGTTATTGCATATTTTAGGCCAAAATGAGCTAAACTGAAACATTTTTGACCTCAGCAATGTTGGCATAAAATTTCCAGTTCATTGTTCTTTAATTCTCAATGTAGTGACTAACATCATATTTCATGATTGCACCTTATGTTCTTTGTATTCATTATTTGTATACTCAGAAGAAAATTTAGATTAAATGTTTTCATGTATGTAAGTTAATTTGTATTATTATCATTTTATTAATATCAGTTGTAGCAAATATATATTTGGATTTATTGGTCTTTTGTTCCTTCTTTAATGACTACATATTTCATTAGTATAATTCATTTGTAAAATAAGAGTTTACATGTGTAAATAATGCAAGGAAATAAAAGGCTTTGCTTAATTACAGTTGTCTGTTCTGATTAAACTTGCCTCAACTGATCTCCTTTTCCTAATTTAGAATTTGAATAAAGTATATGCAGTCTTGTAGCTGCTGAATACAGTCAGGGCTTGAATTATGGAAGTATGGGAGGTTCCACTGGACCCAGGGGGCAATTGAAAGGGGACAGCGTTTTACCACTCATGTTGGGTGGTATCTCTTTCCAGCTGTTCAGGCCACGTGGCCAACCTTCTAGGTTTTTCAATCTGTACTTGCTCCTGCTAAATAGACCAGCTACTGGAACTATATGGTGGGTGAAATTGTGATGTCATGTGACTGAGGAGAGACGTGCAGAGTAGCAATATGGTTAAAGAGGGATATGCAAAGCAAGGTTGTGGCTGGGGAGATACAGAGGTACTGTCAGGATCCTATCCTAACAACTAAGTTTATGTTTCATTTCTTCTTTATTTAATTGCAATACCTGCCCTCCACCACTAGTGTCCTTCCTAACCACTAACTCTGAACTCTCCTTCATTATCCTCACCTGCCTGAACGAATGACATTCCTACAAAAGGCTATGCCCAGCTCAATACAGGGCCTTCACATTGAAGTTGTTGGTTTTCCTGAAAGACTTCAGATCCTGGCTCCTGTAATTATTCTGATGGACTTCCCTTCTTTATTATCTTCCTTTTGATACCAACCAGCTCCATAACAGCCTGAACTTCTCGACAATCCAGCTTAATTTCCAACCTGATTCATACCAGCCTGAACTACGCAACCAATCTGATTTATTTTACCTGCTTAATACTACTAACCTGCTTTTTCTTGCCATCCTGCTTTATACCTACCTGATCCTCACAACCGACCTGCTCTATACCAACCTGGACTTTGCTACAAACTACTATTTCAAGGTGTACTTTTTCTGCTTTATCCATACTCCTTTCAGCAGGGTGCTGATTCCCTAAAGTCTACTTTACCTGTAATTGCTGAAACCTTTCTGTACTGTTTTGTTTTACTTGTTTCTCTAAACTATCTTACTTTCACCTATAGGTTTTCTACTAATTACTTATTTCCTGTTTTATAATCTGTCTGGGGTATATTGCCTAAACCTTCGTTTCTATTATTTTACCTTCTCACCTATAACTCCGTTTATAGGTTCTCTTATTTTCCTTCTCCCTATAATTTCAGTTATAGGATTTCCTGTTATTGTATTATGTCCCATCTCCGCAATAAATAACCTAATGTTAACTCCGGCCAAAGACTTATATCTGACCTGCTCAAGATCATGACAAGTAAAAGGGAAGATCATGACTGAGAGGAGATGTACACAGGAGGGATATGGCTGAGGTGAAATGCACAAGGGAGGATTATGGCTGAGAGGTGATGTACAAGAAAGGGATGTATCTGGTGGGTATGAATTGGTGGTAAGAGCTTTGGGGATCAAGGGCAGCAATGAATCACTGATTCCAGGCAGCACAATGTCTTGGACGAGCACTGACTACAATTATCAATAGGGGCTATTTTATTACAACTAAGAAATTTCTTTGCATGCAAGTCATAGTAAAATTCTTAATACACAAATCTTTAAGATGTGCCACATCAGAAAGTCAGTAGCCATCATGGTCATATTAATCAAAAGGAACACAACTGTGCCGACACAGAGAGATTAGTGTAGTTGCAGTATGTTAGAGGAACACTTTTAGTGGTTAATTGGGTTATGCCACTACAAAGCTATTTTGTAGTCTAGGTGTCTATGAGGAGCAGGTATTTCATCATCCTGTTGTCCACTGATTTGAATGACAGAACAACATTAACTTTGATTTGAACATGAGGGTTGTATTTCAGAGATCTGCTGTAAAATATCAGATATCCTTTTTCAATCTTTTTTTAATCCCTAAAGAAGGTTCTTGCAAGATATAATGCCCACACAATAAAGAGAAACAACAGTTATTAAAAATAAATAAATAAACAAGCTAAACAAATAATAATATGTCAGTTGACCGACACTTTGAATTATTTAAAATGTTACTATTTCTAGTCCCTTCTTTATTGTTATTATTTTACAATTGGTTGTATAATTAAATACAATCCAAGGCTACATATCAGAGACCACCACACTGCATAAACATATCAAACATTAACCAATCTCACAGAAAATATTTCATAGACATTAACTTGATTGAACCCTCTTACACCATTATGACATTATGCATTCCATACAGATTGACTATTCTCAAATAAACACTTTTCAACTGTGACATCACTCGAAGTTCTGACATTACATACACACAAAATTGTGCTTCTATGGTATTATGTGAAATGTCATAGAAAGCAAGCTTGGTGAGGTGAGATATATGTAAACAAGCAAACATGTATTGAAAAATAATGCCTATAATTGCAATCTCATAACATAGCATCTAAATGACATCTAACATGTTGTGTACCGCATAGTGTACTAAGTCACAGGCTGACCATACCTTCACCTGTGCCCAGTAACTTACGTGCAATGGTTTCCAAAGTCTTGAGGTTAAGCATGGGAAGCTCCCACACTGCTTCTACCACGGTTTCCAACCTTGGGTCATTTAATTTGGCACGGATTTCAAATTCATAGAGAAGCAAAAGTACTTCTGTGGGATCTTGAGAAAAATCCCCTGTGGAGTGCGAAAAAAGAGGTGACCGTGATTCACTATAAAAATACATACATAGGGAGACACAGTATTTTTTGTTTTTAAGGGTTTGGACAGTGTTCGATAGATATAGGATTAAGTAGGACTAATGGGCTTTTTAGCCCGAGGAGTTACAGTCCACACCATATTAAACACATGTATCCCTTAACTCCAAGTCCTCCGTATCCTTCAGCCCTCCAATTCACAATATCAATCAGTAACAATTACTGGCAATTAACCGTGAATTTCTAATTATATGGCAAAATAACCCGACTACAAACATAGCGGACTTTGACAATTTTTCCCAATGAGGATATTTTGGCAAATATTGACTTTTTTTTTGTATTCTCATTCACATTAGGTATTGGTAGACTACTGCCTCAGTTCAGATTCTTGTATGTTATATAAAATGAGTGGCTTTGTGACCAACCCCAATTGCTCTCACAATGCTTAATCTCATGTTTACTGCAAGTAAGCATATCTGACGTTCATATTCACACATGTATGGTCCACTCGTTTCGTTTAACTCAGTGAGATTCTACATTTTAGCTGATGCTATGCAACTGTATTCTGTGAAATATCTGATATTACCACTGATATATACCACTCAATAAAAAAAGTGAATAAAAAAAATAATTTGAAAGTCACTTTGAATTCACAGCAATTCACACTTTAGTAAAAAGCCCCGTAAGTCCCTCTGTAGCCTCTACAATCCCTCTGTAACCTGCAGTCCCTCTACATGTCTTTTTTTCTGCAGTGGTTTAATAGCACAGCAGTCATATGACCACAATGTCATTAGTGTGTTACCTAATTTATCGAGGACTTTTTAACTTTTTTATAAAGCACATTGACTGCAAAAGGTGACTTGATGTGCATAGGACAGTGAGAAGAGCATACCTGTGGACTGCAGCACTCTCCAGATCTCCTGACACAGCTGAATATGATTTAGTGACTTGGTAAGTAGCTCAACCTGTACAGTACAAATAACTAATGAGTCTGGAGGTCTATAAATATTTACAGCACATCAATGATATATAACATAAAATAAATCATGATGAGATTAATGCTTTAGAGGCACCACTAGGGGCAGTGTGTAGGCCATTACATGGGTTCCTTAAGCTATGTGCTTCTTGCAGTGAGATCACAGGCCCACCTACTTTGGGAATACACTGAATAAAAACCAGATGTAGGAGGGATTCAGGCTCTTTGCCTACTAGCATATAGTACCAGCTCTAAATTAACCCAAGCCAAAGGGACGGGGCCTTGTTAGGAATATAAATCTGTTGTTAAATTTATAAACTGCAATTGTCTTTTCTAAGTAACATGTTCTAGTTTTGTATTGTATAATTATTGAAGTAAACCGACATTTTGCTAGCATCTTGACTTGTTATTATAATTATATTAAATTTGTATTGTATAATTATTGAAGTAAATTGACACTTTGCAAGCATCTGTTTACTTGTTATTATAAATGTATTAAATAAACATTTAAAGCAGGGGTTCCCAGCCCAGTCCTCAAGTATCCCCTACCAGTCCAGGATTTAGACATTACCCAGTTGTGTCTCAATGTACTCTTTTTTTCTAAAAACACCTTAGACACTACTGGGTAATCCCTAAATCCTGGACTGTTAGGGGGTACTTGAGTACTGGGTTGGGAACCACTGATTTAAAGGGACACTATAGTCACTGGAACAACTACAGCTTATTGAATTTGTTCTGGTGAGTAGAATCATTATCTTCAGGCTTTTTGCAGTAAAAACTGTCTTTTCAGAGAAAATGCAGTGTTTATATTACAGCCTAGTGATAACTTCACTGGCCACTCCTTCAGTGTCTCTGCCCTCTGCATGGAGACACTGAACTTTCCTAATAGAGATGCATTGATTCAATGCATATCTATGAGAAGATGCTGATTGGCCAGGGTTATGTTTGGCTTGTGCTGGCTCTGCCCATGATCTGTCTCCTTAACAGTATCGGCCAATCCTATGAGAAAGCATTGTGAATGGCTCAGAGAATCATTTCTGATGATGTCAGCCAAGCAGGTAGATCAGGGCCAGAAGCATCAGCTCCAGACTTGAAGACAAGTAAGAGTTTACTATATTTAGGGAGGCAGTGAGGACCAGGGGGGCTAGATGGTGGTTTTAACACTATAGGGCCAGGAATACATTTTTGTGTTCCTTTAATATAACAATGTTTGGAGTATTTTCTATCCACATAGTCGACCATAATACAAGGAACTATGACAATATTTATTTTTTATATATATATAAATTTTTATTTTTCGTTTTAAAAGTTTCATCCAAATGCATTTTCAAAAATAGATTTTACAATATGGTGCAATATATTACTTTACAGTAAATTATGTAATTATACATATATTTAGTGTAGCCATATTTCATACATTTGAACATTATCTACATTGTCTACAATCAATCAAACAAAAAGAAGAGAAAATAGCATACAATTCCTCTTCCTTATAATCATTTCACATTGGTGCTACCTAAGAGTGGCTATCTGTGGGAGGGGAGTTGAGTTTTTACAGCTAAGATATCTAACCCAAGGGGCCCATATTTCATCATATTTCTCTCTGTATAACTTATTTGAGGCTAACCCAGCTTCCATCCTACATTGATAATCTATTTGTATACATATATCATGCCAGTTTAACGAACCCATATTTCTCCAATTTCTGGCCATAACTATTTTTATTGCCATAAAGGAGTGAATCATAAGAATTTTTTGTTTTATATTAACTTTTGGCAAATCTAAGTGGAACAGGAACATTTGAGCCGTGATAACAGTTTGAACCTTCAAAATGGAATCTACCAAGTCCGATAAAATTATTTTCATAGACTTCAACTCCTCACAGTCCCACCAGATGTGGGAGAATGAGCCTAGCTCCCTACCACATCTCCAACAATCTGGTAGAAGTGTGGGTTGAAATCTATGGAGGCGAGTGGGCACCAGGTACCAACGATATACCAGTTTAAAGTACACTTCCTGTATATTCACCCCATGTATATATCTTTTTACTGATTGTAGGCCCAAAATCCAATCTTTAACCGAGGATGAAAAGTGGAGTTCCTGCTCATTCATTATTCATTGCCAACGCTTTAACTATTTGCCTTTGGCTTCTTATAAATTGATTAAATCTGGATGCGATTTTTTTTTTGTAATGGAATGCTACAAACTGGTCAATTGGAGAAGTTTCCGAAAAAACATTTCCCATAATAAAAGATTTTATTCTTAAGTAATTAAATATTTCCTTCGAAGGGAGGTTATAATTGAGCTGTAACATTGCGAATGACAATATTTTGTTATCATTTAGAAGTTCCGCAATTTTTGCAATTCCACGCTTTTCCCATTCTTGAATATTTATATCTTTTATATAAAGTTTTAGACATGTTAATGGGGCGTTTCTTGATATATGTTTAGTTCCATATTTTTTCTTTAAGTATTTTACAATATAGATCATTGTGTTGTTCATCGGGTTACTAGGCCTTATATTTTTTACAAATTCACTGTCACACCACCAGAGAAATAGAGGTTCAATATTATAGAGATCCGATTTTTCAATATCTAACCAGACTGGTCTTGACATTGTAAAATTATCACATTTAATTAAGTGTGCTACCATATTGTTCATATATAGTTTCTGTATATCTGGGAAAGAGATTCCCCCTTCCTTCCAATCTCTCTGTAAAATTTCCAGTGATACTCTGGATCTCCTGTCTTGCCATATATAATCCGAAACCTGTTTTTGAAAACCGCGTATCGTCTGGAATGGAACCCTCAACGGGAGGTTACAAAATAAAAATGTCAATTTGGGGAGTAGGTAGGAGTTTACCGCTTCGATTCCTCCCAACCAAGATAATTCCAATCCCTTCCAATTTTTTAGAGTACTCCTAAATTGGGTAGCTATTTCTGTATAATTAAGTTCACCGGTTTCCCTATAATCTAGAGATAGTCTTACCCCTAAGTATTTTATATTCCTTGCTTCCCAATCACATTTAAATTCCTTTTTGAGTTTTTTTACCCCGGGTCCATTTAGACCTTTTGTCAGGATTTGTGTTTTCTTTATATTTATTTTATAGCCTGAAAATTTACTATACTCATTAATAAGACAAAATACAGCTGGGATAGATCTAATAGGATCTATAAGAGTCAATAGAACATCATCTGCATAAAGTGCAATTTTATTCTCCAGACTATTCACTTTTAGCCCGCTGATGTCATCATTCTGTCTAATCGCGGCTGCCAGCGGTTCTATAGAGAGGATATATAACAGGGGTGCCAAAGGGCAGCCCTGTCGCGTCCCATTTCTGATTGGGAACCAGTTTGATTGAAACATAAATCCTGAGACTCTAGCTTGAGGATCTTTATATAACGCCATTGTACACTCCTTAAAGAGACCCTCTATGCCGAAGGCCTTCAAAACCTCTTCCAAATACTTCCAGTTAACACGTTCGAAGGCCTTCTAGGCATCAAGGGTAACCATGGTGAAGGGGGACAGACTTTGATCCGCATGATATAAAACATTCAGTAATTTCCTAATGTTATCCGATGTACCCCTACCTTCTACAAACCCACTCTGATCTGTATGAACAATATCAGGTATGTTTTGTTTGAGTCTATCGGCCAAAATTCTAGAGTATACTTTAATATCTAAATTAATAAGAGAAATTGGTCTGTAGTTCGAAGTATATATTGGATCCTTATCTACCTTAGGGATTGGCATTATAGAGGCCTGGAGTAATTCGGATGGGATAGATTTATAGCTGGCAAATTCTTTAAATGTCTTCAATAGATATGGGGAAATATCATTTAATTTTTTATAAAAAAATCGATGAAAAACCATCTGGACCTGGTGCTTTGCCCGCTATTAATACTTTAATGGTGTTACTAATCTCCTGAATGGAGAATGGAGCATTGAGCTGATTTAATTTCTCAGTAGATATTTTTGGCAGGCTTAGTTTATCCAGGAAATGCTTTGTTTCCCCTACAGGTGGCTCATTAAATTTTAAATTATATAAACTTTTGTAGTATTCTTCAAATGCATTGGCTATTTGAGTTGGTGAAAAGAGTTTTTTATTTCCAGCTATTATATAGTTTATAGATTGAAGTTTATTTTTATTTTTTAATTTATTTGAAAGGTTTTTCCCTGTTTTATTATTTCCATAGTACCATCCCTGCTTTAATACTAACATTGCTTTATTAATTTTTTTCTTGAGTTCTTATTAGTATTTTTTTCCTGATCTCCTTAATATCCTCCAGAATTTTATGATCTAAAGTAATCTTATGTAGACGTTCTTGTTTTACTAAATCAATATTAAGCTCATTCAACTCTTTTCCCTTCTTTTTCTTTGTATTGGCACCCAATTTTATAAGACATCCTCTCATATATGATTTAAAGGTACACCATAACATACCGTTAGAGACGTCCCCTGTATCATTGGTTTCAAAAAATTCTCTAGCCTGGATACGCAATTCTTCTACGTTAATTTCTGATTTTAATAGAGTTTCATTTAGTCTCCATCTATCTCTGCGTTTGTATTCGGCGTTATTATTTATAACTAAACTTACTGGTGCATGGTCAGACCATGTTATGGGCCCAATTATCGCTTTATTAACTCGCTCCAAAGTTTCAGCTTTAACCAAAAAATAATCGATTCTACTATATGTCTGATGAACGTTTGAATAAAACGTATAATCTCGCTCTTCTGGATTAAATGTTCTCCAGGAATCATATAAACAGTTTTTTGCTAAGAAAGTCTGCATCATTGATGGTCCTATTTTTTGATTGTCCTCCTTATCTGCAGGCTTGGTTCTGTTCCTAAAAAATATAATGGTTCAGCGCTAAGTAATCTAAAAGAAACTAAAATAAAGTGTAAAAGCAGCAACCTATAAGAATGAGGTCCCTCAACAAGCCTCACATGGAGTAGGATAGACAAAAAAGGGGTATATAGGTCGCGCTAGAGGGACAGGGAGGTAAAATAAATGGAATAAATAAAAGTGATAAAAAAGTCCCAAATAATAGATAAACCTGTGTTGTTCTTAGATGAGTATACAGTCCAAATGGATATCTGAATCTTCTTATGTTGAAGGTGTCTTAGAACGCTTGTTCATAGGTAGATACATAAAAGAAATAAAAAAAGAACTCCAATGGTGTAGAATGTCAGCAAAATTCCAGGTGTTGGTCTATAAGTAGGTAAAAAACTCACCTTGGCGTGAGCAAAAAAACTTTGCTCAAGTATTCTTAGCGTTCAGTGGCGTCAATCCCCCACTGGTTGGATATAGGTAATGGAGTCCTCAGCAATTCCTCGATATGTAAAAAGATGAGAGACGTATATAGTGCTCACTGAATATTATAAAAACAAATAAAAATGGTAAAATACTCACATGTGTATGAGCAGGAACTACTGCTCAGTATAGTGGCGCAGGTGGTACAATCCCCACCTTAGGATTCTTGGAAAGTGACGTGCTTCAATCCAAATCGGTGACCAGTTAATTCAGATTAAAATTAAAAATGAAAGGAATTAAAAATATATAGGCAAAAAATAAGAGCCGATATTCCTTTATTTAAGTATAATATATCAATATATAAAACAAACTAATAATATCCAAAACGCGTTTCACCACACAGGGCTTTATCAAATGGCATTTAAAAGAGGGAAAAACCTGGTACAGTAGCTGCTTTTATAAGCTAAAAAAAAATAAAAAAAAAATACAGATTTGAATTTGGCGCCAGAATGACGTCACTAATACAATATGCATAATTTAAAACGAATTTAAAAATGAGAATTTAAAATATAAAGGCATTTTATAATGCAATATAAAGATATTTGTCAATTTAGAATAGTAAAACGAGCATTATTTATAATGTTAGACACATGTAGATATGATGTCACTAAGGAACATATAATCGCGATTTATGTATGTTCAAAAGTTAAAATTTAGGGTGTAAAAACATAAGTAAAAGGGATATAAAGGTGTCTCTGGACTTTAAATAAAAAAACGAGCGTTTATTTTAATAATACATAAGGAAACACTTGATTGCGACTAGACGCGATCACGTGATCGAAACTGGGCATTGTGGGAAATGTATGCCCGAAGATCGAGAGATCGGCGCAGAAATATTCCGCCTGTGTCTAGACTTTATGTACAACAAAAAGGCATAATAGGGCTAGAAAACTAGCCCCTCGAACATGCAGAGACCTAACAGGAGAAGGGAGAAGAGGAGAAAAAAAGGGGAAGAGAGGCAAAAGAGGGGCTGCTGCAGGAAATATCCTGCATGAATAAGAAAAGAGTATAAATATAAAGATAAAAATATAAATATAAATATATAGATAAAAATATATATATGATATATGTTACAAAGTACAAAATGAAAAATAAAATGAAAAATATATATATATTAAAAATATATATATTAAAAATAAAACAAAACAAAAAAATAAAAAAAAATAAAAATAAAATAAATAAAATGAAAAAGATTATAAAAAAAATATATATATTTAAATAAATTTAATAAAAAAATAATGGAATACATAATTTCATAAAAAGTTAAAAAGGTCAAATTCTACATTTAATCCTTGGGGTGATAGGGTTTTTAATTGGAAAACCCAATTCATCTCTCTTTTTCCCAAAATATTTTTCATATCTCCTCCTCTCCATGGCATGGAAACTTTTTTTATCCCAGTAACTTTAAGAACACTGGGGTCTTTATTGTGAAATAAAAAGTGCTTAGACACTGGTTGTCATATCCCTTTTTGATATTACGGCAATGTTCTGCCAATCTAATCTTTAAACACCTTGTTGTCATGCCAACATATTGAAAACCACATGGACATTCTAATAAATAAATGACATTTTTAGTGTTACATCCTATAAAGTCTTTAATCGGATACATAGTTTTGGTAATGGTGGAAGAGAAATGAGTCGTTTTAGTATTGGTATTTGGATTTGTGGATCTACATACAATACATTTGTTACATTTAAAAAAACCTTTTGGTTTTGACAGAAAATTCTCCTTTGATTATACTAAAATTACCTCATCAAAGGAGAATTTTCTGTCAAAACCAAAAGGTTTTTTTAAATGTAACAAATGTATTGTATGTAGATCCACAAATCCAAATACCAATACTAAAACGACTCATTTCTCTTCCACCATTACCAAAACTATGTATCCGATTAAAGACTTTATAGGATGTAACACTAAAAATGTCATTTATTTATTAGAATGTCCATGTGGTTTTCAATATGTTGGCATGACAACAAGGTGTTTAAAGATTAGATTGGCAGAACATTGCCGTAATATCAAAAAGGGATATGACAACCAGTGTCTAAGCACTTTTTATTTCACAATAAAGACCCCAGTGTTCTTAAAGTTACTGGGATAAAAAAAGTTTCCATGCCATGGAGAGGAGGAGATATGAAAAATATTTTGGGAAAAAGAGAGATGAATTGGGTTTTCCAATTAAAAACCCTATCACCCCAAGGATTAAATGTAGAATTTGACCTTTTTAACTTTTTATGAAATTATGTATTCCATTATTTTTTTATTAAATTTATTTAAATATATATATTTTTTTTATAATCTTTTTCATTTTATTTATTTTATTTTTATTTTTTTTTATTTTTTTGTTTTGTTTTATTTTTAATATATATATTTTTAATATATATATATTTTTCATTTTATTTTTCATTTTGTACTTTGTAACATATATCATATATATATTTTTATCTATATATTTATATTTATATTTTTATCTTTATATTTATACTCTTTTCTTATTCATGCAGGATATTTCCTGCAGCAGCCCCTCTTTTGCCTCTCTTCCCCTTTTTTTCTCCTCTTCTCCCTTCTCCTGTTAGGTCTCTGCATGTTCGAGGGGCTAGTTTTCTAGCCCTATTATGCCTTTTTGTTGTACATAAAGTCTAGAGACAGGCGGAATATTTCTGCGCCGATCTCTCGATCTTCGGGCATACATTTCCCACAATGCCCAGTTTCGATCACGTGATCGCGTCTAGTCGCGATCACGTGTTTCCTTATGTATTATTAAAATAAACGCTCGTTTTTTTATTTAAAGTCCAGAGACACCTTTATATCCCTTTTACTTATGTTTTTACACCCTAAATTTTAACTTTTGAACATACATAAATCGCGATTATATGTTCCTTAGTGACATCATATCTACATGTGTCTAACATTATAAATAATGCTCGTTTTACTATTCTAAATTGACAAATATCTTTATATTGCATTATAAAATGCCTTTATATTTTAAATTCTCATTTTTAAATTCGTTTTAAATTATGCATATTGTATTAGTGACGTCATTCTGGCGCCAAATTCAAATCTGTATTTTTTTTTTATTTTTTTTTAGCTTATAAAAGCAGCTACTGTACCAGGTTTTTCCCTCTTTTAAATGCCATTTGATAAAGCCCTGTGTGGTGAAACGCGTTTTGGATATTATTAGTTTGTTTTATATATTGATATATTATACTTAAATAAAGGAATATCGGCTCTTATTTTTTGCCTATATATTTTTAATTCCTTTCATTTTTAATTTTAATCTGAATTAACTGGTCACCGATTTGGATTGAAGCACGTCACTTTCCAAGAATCCTAAGGTGGGGATTGTACCACCTGCGCCACTATACTGAGCAGTAGTTCCTGCTCATACACATGTGAGTATTTTACCATTTTTATTTGTTTTTATAATACTCAGTGAGCACTATATACGTCTCTCATCTTTTTACATATCGAGGAATTGCTGAGGACTCCATTACCTATATCCAACCAGTGGGGGATTGACGCCACTGAACGCTAAGAATACTTGAGCAAAGTTTTTTTGCTCACGCCAAGGTGAGTTTTTTACCTACTTATAGACCAACACCTGGAATTTTGCTGACATTCTACACCATTGGAGTTCTTTTTTTATTTATTTTATGTATCTACATATGAACAAGCGTTCTAAGACACCTTCAACATAAGAAGATTCAGATATCCATTTGGACTGTATACTCATCTAAGAACAACACAGGTTTATCTATTATTTGGGACTTTTTTATCACTTTTATTTATTCCATTTATTTTACCTCCCTGTCCCTCTAGCGCGACCTATATACCCCTTTTTTGGTTCTGTTCCTATCCACTTTATTATCTATAATGCAATTAAAATCCCCGCCGATAATTAGGCTTCCAGACGATACGCGGTCAACCTTTTGCATCAGATTACCCAGAAATCTGTATGGAAGTTGATTTGGAGCATAAACATTTACCAATGTATACAAAATATCATTAATTCGAACTATCACTATGAGAAACTACCACCAAGGTCGGCCTCCTCATAAACCAACTCATATTTCAAGCTACTTGAAAAGAAGATTGCCACTCCTCTTTTCTTATTCTTTCCTGCCAAATTGGATCTATGGACCACTGGAATTTTTTTATAATTCCATAGCTTAGATGTAGAGTTAACCCAATGTGTTTCTTGAACAAAACAGATATCCGTTTTGCTATCCATCAGTAATTTGTACAAATAACCTTTTTTCTGTCCTGAATTTAAGCCCGTTGCGTTAATAGATAATATATTAAGTGACATCGTGCCGCAGCTCCCCCCACGCCCTCTTCCCCTCTAACCTCCCCTCAGGTAGCATCCAACACACAGATCCACTCATACCTTCCCCAGTCAACCATCCACTCATACCTTCCCCAGTTGATAATATAAATTTAAACCTCCTGGAGAAGCTCAAACAACAATCTATTAGAACATTTGTTCCATAATATGAAGTACTATATAAAGTCTTCATATCTAACCCTGCTGCCGTCGCAGGACCTTGAACCAGGATAGTGGGCCTTTTACCTCTACTCTGCCCCCTTTATCCAAAATATTCAATTACAACTCCGGGGTTTATCTACAAATTCCTCCCTAATGTCAAAAAACAAACAAACAAAAAAAAACAATATTTATTAAATTTGTGAAATTTGTGAATATTATGAACCTCCTTTTCGTTCATTTCGTGCAGCTAAATTTAATTATGTGTCTAATAATAACTAACTTTAAACTCTTCCTCCATATTTATTACTTTAAATGTAAGTCTATCTCCTTATTCTTCAATTTCTTTACTTTATATCTTTATATAAGTGTCAACTATATGTAGTGTGTCAATATGTCTCTCCAAAAAACATTTCCATTGCTAAAAAAACAAAACCCTTTTTTTCTTATTTCTTCAAAAATTTACAAAATATTTACAAATACAATATCTGTTAAATTGGTGAGTATTATAAGACTCCTTTTGGTGAGTACCATAAGACTCCTTTTCGTTCATTTCGTGCAGCTAAATTTAATTGTGTATGTATATCTATAAATTATAACTTTGAACTATTCCTCCATATTCGTTACTTTAGATGTGAATCTATCCTTATTCTTAAATTATATATGTCACTCTACGTCACTCTAAAACATTTCCATTTCAACACCATGACAAAAGCCCCTAAATAAAAAAAAACTAAAAAAAAAAAACATTTGAAGTTAGAGAGTAAGTTTCAAAGTTATCAATTTCTGTTTCAGTGCCGTGTTGTCTCTAAAGATATATGTTTGATCTTTAAAAAAGACCATAATTGCCATCGGAAACAGCCACTTATATCTTATCTCCTTGTTCCTAAGGATTGCCGTTTCCTCTGAAAAGGTTCTTCTTGCTTGTCTTGTTTTTTGAGATAAGTCCTGAAAAACTTTTAAGTGTCTCCATTCTTCAGTGTCTAGAGTCCCATTCCTTGTTTTCTGCATTATTAGATTTTTTATCCGAAAGCTAAAAAAACAAATCATAATATCTCTTGGATAGGATTTATCAATTCCATTTGGTCTGGACAGTCTATGAAATCTTTCAAAGGTTTCAGGGCCCAGCGTCTGTCGAGACAAAATTCTTGAAAAAAAACTGTCCAGATAAGAATATAAGTCTTCTTGTGTTATTGATTCTGGTATACCTCTAACTCTTATATTATTTCTCCTGGAGCGATCTTCTAAGTTTGTCATTTTAATCTCAATGTCATTCAATCTCTTCTCTAGCTGTGTATTAGATGCTTTGATTTGTTCGTATTCATCTTGTACTTTTTGTAGTATAATTGCCTGACTTGAGAATTTCTCAGAAAGAATGGCAATTTCTGATCTAAGATCATTTATGTTATGTTCAATATCCGTTTTAATTTTTTTATGCAGGTTGTCCAACATTTGGGTTAATAATTGTTGCGTCAATCCCTGTGTTTTTAGCAAATGTGGAAAGTCATCCTCTGATATATTTGATATTTGATGTACCGAGAGCTCAGCATTTTCTAAGGGCAAAGATTTTCGTTGCCTCTCTGATTCTGTAGATGCCATTTTAGGAGAATAAAATGCACCAATTGTTGCCTTCTTTCTCTCGATAGTTTGGGATTTCTCTTTCTTAGGAGCCATGTGTAGTGGTGGTAGTAGATCTCTTAAAGTGAACTTTTACTTCACTTAAGGAAACTATTATATATTTCTTTAACGCAAATATCTTTAAAAGGTTTCCTTTTTTCTTCCTTTTTTTTTTCTTCCTTTTTTCTTCCTTCTTCCTTCCCCTTTCTCTTTCTTCTTACAGGTATTGGTTATTAACTGATAGATTTTGACTTGTAAATTTACCCCTCCGGCCTTCCTTATTTAAGAAGGGTTCTGGCTTTTTTTCTTCCCCCTTTCTTTTTTTTCTTCTCTCTTTTCTCTCTCCTTTTCCTTCTCTTTTCTTTCCTCCTACTTCCTTCCTCTCCTTCCCTTCCTCCTTTTTCTTCCCCTTTCTCTTCTCTTTTTTCTTTCTTTTTATTGTGACTTTAAATTTCAAATTTAAATTTCAAATAGCTATCCCTTAATTTTCACATCAAGTATGAGGTAGAGGTCAGTGGAGGTCAGTAACAAATAGATGGGAAAGTGACTATTTACTCACAGGTATTATTTTTATACACACTAGGACCGCTCACATGTCCATCACATCAATGCCAAAAACCAATCTTCTATTTATAAAGCGCAAATACCTGCAGACTGAGGGTTATACAATCAGTCTTATCAGCTCATTGTCAGCCCAATCTCCTTTTTAATGCCGTCGAACTCGATGTATTTACTGCATCATTGGAGCAGCAATAAGAGAAAATCTTCAGCTGCTCAGCCACATAGCAGGATCGTTGCCTCGCCGGCTTCAGTTTTTTTTTTTTCCAGTGCCGCTGAGCTCGGCGTCCTCACTGCCTCGCTACCTTGCTGCTTCGCTGCCTCACTTCCTGGTCCGAGAAAGCGCGCGGTCCTGCCGCTTACGGACGCACCTACGTCACGTACCGCCCGCATATTAGATCCACACCCGGAACTATAACAATATTAATGTTGTTACTTATTGCTTAATTATTATATATTAATTAAGAGATCAATATTCATCTTTAAGTCATGGCCACAACATTCAGGACCAATGGAATATGAGCCATTATGATCAAAATACAAACTAATTTGAAATGTTATGACAATGATCACTAATCTGTGTTTGTACTCAGTTATGCAAACATGTGTTTAGATACACAAATGCATAATCCACTAAACCAAACATGCAGATGCAATCACTAAAAGAGACACTAGAGGCACCCAGACCACTTATTTTCGTTGAATTGGTCCGGGTGCAGTGGTCCTGTTCCCTTTATCCCTGCAATGTAAAACATTAGATTAAATGCAATGTTTACATTGCAGGGTTAAAGATGCCACTAGTGGTTGTCTTTGCATGAGAATGCTCAGCATTTTGAAAATCCCCTTAGGAATCTATTAATTCAATGCTTTCCTATGAGAAAGGCCTAATGCGCGCGCTGCATGTGCATTAGGTTCCCCCATTATCGTGAAATCCCAGGTCCCTTGGAGCTTGAATGAGGTAAGTGAAAAAAGGGGTTATTTTTGTACCTTTAGGTTTCAGATATAATCACTGAGTTTTATGAGAAAAGTTTTATTGTTCTTGTCCTATACATTATACATTACCAATTCAGTGTATTTCTCCATGTCAAACAGTGCATTACTTCATGGGGAAATAGGAGAATGATGGTGCTTATATTGGTAATCTGTAGAGGTATTTAAACAAGTCAACCTGTGACAATGTATGATTACATACTTTTTCTAATAGATTTTTTTATATATTTTTTTAAATCAAATCATTAAAGTGGGTGGTAGAAAGTGAAATTGGACATATTGTAAGGTAATATTTGTATAAGTACAATTTCCATGATGGTACCTGCTCGGAGTGGTCTGTCGCCTCCCTAGCCCTGTCCATGTCAACAGCAGCTGCCATCAACAGACATGATTTCTGAGCCACTAAGATCAGCCTATCACACGTGCAGAAAAGGGACAGCTGTAAAAAGAGAGCCACATTAAGTTAAATAAGTTTACTTTCCTGGCTAATCATGGCAGCATCACTTATGGGTAGCTCCTCCCTTAGTAGTCACAGGACAGGAATTAATTAGATTAATTAATCAGACTGATAGGTATAAAGAGTCCCTCCTCCCCTTACACCTCAGTCTTTTTTCCTGTCCTTAGCAGGTTCTACAGGACTTTTTTACAATTTTGTTTTATGGCTCACCTTCCTGCGTTTGTCGTGGGTTCGTTCCAAATGAAGTTCAGCCTCTCTTCATTTGAAGGACCCAGTAAACAGCCTGCATGAGCAGGACTAACTGGGTCAGGTTCAGTGTAAGTACTGAACTGCACCGTGGGAAAGTAAGTGTTTGAGGGAGACACTAATGCTTCTGGTTTATGGTGGGGTTGGTTATGCCTTAAAAATTCCCCTGTTTCTACCTGCCCCTACTAATTGGGGTTATATACCCCCCCTCATACCTTGTGGGCAGTTCTTGGGAATCCATGATGAGAGGGTCTCTCCCTTCCTCTGTTGCTCCTTCTTGCCCCTTTTCCGGTTCTCTGGCTTGGGGGGACATGCCCCAGGGTTCCCTGCCCCTTGGGCCCCCCTCTGGGGCTTGGGGTTTGGGGGCTGGAACGCATTTGCGTTCCAGCCGGCTGTTTTGCGGCCAGTTCCGGCGAAACCGGAAGTGTTCTGCCGGTCGCGAGCAAGTGGAACGCATAGCGTGCGTTCCACCGCTCTGCGCATGCGCGAACCGGGCGGTCAGCTGTTCGCCGCCCGGACCTATTTAAGGGGATTAATTCAGCCCCCTTAGTGCTGTTCATGCTGCCTTTTTTTCGGATTTCTCTCTACAGCTTGGAATACCAGTCTGGCTCAGCTTCTGTTTGCTTTCTGGCTGCATAGTGGTTGCTCTGCTCTTAAGGTAGGTTTGCGGATTCTTGCTCATTGTTGGAGTTTTTTCTGGTCAGTCTGCCTCTTTCCCTTTAGGGAATTTTGGTCCTGAAGTTTGTTTTGTTTCTTGTTGTAGTATGGATTCTCCCTCTGCCTCTGCAAGATCCCTCTCTAGAAAACATAGGTGAGCCATTTATTTATGGTGTAGGGGGGGGGGTTGTTAAAAGAGTGCCATACTGAGCCTGTAATATATGTCATATATGGCTTTTTTCCAGCCCCAGTGTTCATTTGGACTCTCCAGCGAGAAAATCTCGGGATAAGTCAAATAAATGCATTAATTGTTCTTCATCCGCTCCGAGTGGAAGGAACCTTTGCAGGGAATGCTTGTTGGAAGTCGCTGGTGCCCCTAGTAGGAGCTCTCCTCAAGATGACCTTAAGCTCTGGATTTCTCAGGCTATTGCTGAGGGCTTTAGGACCACCACGGGTTCTAGTGGTCCAAGTAAGAGACGCAGAGCGGAACCTCAGTCTTCCAGCTCTGATGAGGACCCTGATGTCTGGGAGGTTTCGGATGATGGTGAGGAGGAAGCTGATCATACCTCCAGGTCTCTGGACTCCAGGTCTGTAGATAGACTTATTGCTCTTCTTAGAGACACGCTTAGTCTCACTGAAGAAAGATCTGATTTGAAGGAGGCTGACAGGTTTTTTGAGGACCTAAAGCCTAACAGACCTACTTTCCCAGTACATACGTCAATCAGGGATATGATCCTTCAAGAATGGAATAAACCTGAAAAGAAGTCCACCTTAAAAAGTAAGTTTGCGAGGGTTTATCCGTACTCTGCGGTGGATTGCGGTCTGTGGAACTCTGTTCCTAAAATTGATGCGGCAGTGATCCATATGGCTAAGAAAACTACACTGCCTATAGACTCTATGGCATATCTCAGGGAGCCTATGGAGAAGCGTTTGGATGGAGACCTAATTAAAGCCTACTTGGCCCTTGGGTCCGCCCTTCATCCGGCAGTGGCACTGACGACTCTTTCCAGAGCCTTGAAAGTGTGGCTCGCTAATCTGAAAGATGACATTGAGCAAGGTATCCGAAGGGAGCATCTGTTGGAAAGCCTCAAGGACCTTAATCTAGCCACGGAATTCTGTTCAGAGGCCTCCCTGGATATCACTCGCATGATTGCTAAAAGCATGGCCCTGTCGGTGGCTTCTAGAAGGGCTTTGTGGCTGCATTCATGGGGTGCTGACTATGCCTCTAAGGCTTCCCTGTGTGCTCTTCCGTTTCAGGGGGATCTCCTCTTTGGAAAGATTTTGGAAGATGCTATTCAAAAAGCTGCTGATGGGAAAAAGGTGTTCTTACCTCAAACTGGCAGGAAGACTTTTTCCTCCTCCTGGAAGACCAAGCGCTTCAAGGATCGGTCCTTTCGGGACAGCAGAAGCTATAAGCCAGGTAGGGAGTTTTCCAGGAATTCCACATGGAAATCCTATCCGCACTCATCTTCCAATAAGGCTTCCAGAGGTAGGGGTCCTAGAATCTCAGGAAAGAACTTCTGAAGGTCTCCAGGCCCGTTCGGGGATGGTGGGAGGAAGACTGAAGTTCTTTTACCCCAGATGGGCCAGCAATATTTCAGACCTATGGGTCACTTCGATAGTGAAAGAAGGTTACAGAATAGAATTCTCTTCTCACCCAAAAACTGCATTCTTCAAAAAATCAAAGGTGCCGGTAGGCATCAAACGAAGGGCCATGAGATCCTGCATTTCTGTGCTCCTGGAACAAAGAGTGGTGGAAGAAGTTCCCAAAAGAGAATGGTTCCAAGGTGTTAATTCCACGGTATTCTTGGCCCCAAAACCTCAAGGAAAATGGCGTCTCATCTTGAATTTGAAAGGCGTAAACTCCTTGCTCAACGTAAGGACATTCAAAATGGAATCCTTGAGGACCATCTTGAAGTGTGTCAAGAAAGGAGACTGAATGACCTCAATAGATTTAAGGGACGCCTACTATCATATTCCGATACATCAAGATCATGTAAGGTTTCTCAGGTTTTGGGCACTAGGAAGGCACTTCCAGTTCCGGGGTCTACCGTTTGGCCTCAGTCTAGCCCCAAGAACGTTCTCAAAAGTACTGGTTGCCTTAATAGCCTTTATAAGGGAAAAGGGTATCGAGATATTCCATTACTTGGACGACATTCTTATCCTGGGTCCATCTCAAGGAGTCGTGGCTCAACATACGTTAGTCGCAATGTCCATCCTTCAAGACCATGGTTGGCTCCTGAACTTGGAAAAGAGCTCCCTTGTTCCTGCGCAAACGATTATTTTCCTGGGGGCGGTGGTGAATACCGTGTCTGCACACGTGTTCCTGTCTCCGGAAAGGGTCGAGAAGATCAGAGACAAAGTAAGGGGCCTGCAAGATCTCGAAGCTGCACCTGCAAGAGTAGTCATGAGCCTCCTAGGTTCCTTGACGTCTACAATAGGCTTGGTGAAGTGGGCCCAGTGGAAGTTCCGTCCGGTTCAGAACTGCTTCCTTCTCCAGTTCAACAGAGTGGAAGCAAATTGGGAACAGGTGATATCTCTTCCCCTTCCGGTAAGAAAAACCTTAAACTGGTGGAGGAGCGAGAAGAATTTGACGACTGGCTTCCCGTTGGAAGACCCCCCTTGGAAGGTTATTACGACAGATGCCAGTTCTTTTGGATGGGGTGCCCACTTCAGTTCGGTATGGACTCAAGGGAAGTGGACCTGAGGAGAAGAGAGTCGCCTACACTCAAATTTAAGGGAACTAAGAGCGGTTTACAAGGCCGTTTTGAGGTTCCTACCAAGGCTAAAGAACTCGTGGGTCCTAATCAAAACAGACAACCGAGCGGTGGCCTCGTATGTGAACAACCAAGGTGGCACGAGGAGCAGATTGCTGCTGGAAGAACTCGCTCCCTTAATGGTTATGGCCATGACGTTTCTTCAAGGTCTAAAGGCCTTTTATCTCCCAGGCTCGGAGAACGTAACAGCAGACTTCGTCAGCAGAAGGGAAATTCTTCCGGGAGAATGGCATCTTCACCCGGGGATCTTTGCAGAAATTGTTCATCGGTGGGGCATGCCCCAGATCGACCTGATGGCATCATCTCAGAATCACCAGGTGGAGAATTACTTCTCTCTCCACCCGGACCGTCAGGCACTGGGCCAAGATGCTCTCTCTCTCCCTTGGTCGTTCGATCTGGGGTATGCTTTCCCTCCCCTACCTATGATACCCAGGTTCCTGAGGAAGGTTTGGTCGGAAGGCAGGAAAGTCATTGCCGTAATTCCAATTTGGCCTCGTAGACCGTGGTTCCCCCTATTGACCACGATGAGCCAGGAACAGCCTTGGCCTCTGCCAGTGATGGAGGATCTGCTTACACAGGGCCCGGTATTCCATCCTCATCCAGAACGCCTCAAACTGGGGGTATGGATCTTGAGAAGGAAAGACTCCAAGTTCTAGGTCTCTCGGAGGCTGTGATCAATACCCTTCTGCTCTTTAGAAAGGCTTCCACTTCCTCATGCTACCATAGGGTCTGGGATGTGTTCCAGTCTTGGGCATCATCCAATAATGAGGACTTTCTACATCCTAGCAATACTGAAGTTTTGGAGTTTCTGCAAGAGGGCCTGGACAAGGGCCTTAGCCTCAGCACCTTAAAGGTTCAGTCTTCGGCACTCTCAGCTTTGTGCAACATCTCTTGGGCTTCGGATCCTTTGATTTCCAGGTTCTTCAAAGCGGCCTTCAGGTTGAGGCCTCCTTCCAGGTCTACTACCCCTCCTTGGGACCTTCCTATGGTGCTAAATTATCTCACGGAGGATCTGTTTGTTCTTCTTGAAGGTTTGGATGCTACTCTCCTGACGTATAAGACTTTGTTTCTGGTGGCGATTATTTCCGCAAGACGGATTTCAGAGATTAAGGCATTTTCTACATCTTCTTCTTGTTTACAATTCTACCAAGATAGGGTATGTCTGAAACCAAAGCCAGAGTTTCTTCCTAAGGTGGTTTCTCAGTTTCACCTCTCTCAAGAAGTGGTTCTTCCATCATTTTACCCCAACCCCTCTTCTCAGGAAGAGGTTAGATGGCAACGTTTGGATGTCATGAGCTGCTTGTCTGCGTATCTTAGACGTTCTGAGTCTTTCCGTAAGACGGACCAACTCTTCGTTTTGCCGTTAGGAGCTAGGAGAGGTGAGGCGGCCTCTTTGTCTACGTTGAAACGTTGGATTTCTCTGATAATTAAGAAGGCGTATGTCTCTAAAGGTCTATCACCTCCACAGGTGATAAAAACTCATTCTACTAGAGCATTATCAACTTCTTGGGCTAGCTGGGCAGAGGTTCCATACGATGATAATTGCAGAGCAGCCACTTGGTCTTCTCCGATGTCGTTTATGAAGCACTACAAACTTAATGTGGAGTCTCGTTCCACCGCCTTTGGGAAGAGTGTCCTCTCTACGGTCTCTTTATCCAGTTGATATTAAACTTTCTTTGCTGCATGTGTTCGGCTTGGTGTGATTTTTACGTTATTATTTCCCACCCTAGATTTGTGAAGCTTGGGTATTACCCATAAGTGATGCTGCCATGATTAGCCAGGAATAGAGAAAATTTATGACAAACTTACCGTAATTTTCTTTTCCTGGCTATTTCTCATGGCAGCATCAGGGTTCCCGCCCATTCTCTATTTCAGCTTTATAATTGGACTGAGGTGTAAGGGGAGGAGGGACTCTTTATACCTATCAGTCTGATTAATTAATCTAATTCCTGTCCTGTGACTACTAAGGGAGGAGCTACCCATAAGTGATGCTGCCATGAGAAATAGCCAGGAAAAGAAAATTACGGTAAGTTTGTCATAAATTTTCTCTAGTTTACATTTTCCAAAAATGAGCATATCTGTACCTTGTATGATAAAAGGCAGGCATCACTCATCATACTTGGGGAGTCCTCAGCTTGAACAGCCAAATTCCATGCTAAATGAAGCAGAAGAATAGTGTAAAATATTCAGTTAACCATATATATTTAGAAAATGTTACGCCTGGCATACACAGAGACGGTGGTAAATGGCTACTGGGCTTAGTTTCAAAACCTCTCAATACCAAATAAGGATAAGTACATCTCCAATGGTCTGTATATTTACATCTTAAATTTCCACTAAAACATCTATAAAGAAGACCAGCTAGAGCTGAATTTTTAAGGGGTACTCCAACCATCCATATACTTGTTACAACAGATAGATTAGGTTACATTTAGTCTTGCTGTGTGTTTTTTTATCTCAATTTTTTTTTTTTTTTTTTTTAAACTACTTAGTTCTAACTAGCTTTCTGACATAAGTCTACCCATTAATTCTCACATTCTTCTTGCAATAATTTATTTATGGCTACAAAAGTAATACTGTACATGATATAATGAATGCTGAAATATACTACTCAAAATTGAAAAATTAATAGGCTTATTCAGTGAAGTGAGAGTTCATTCTGAATTTGAAATCAAGGCTAAAATAGCTAAACTGGGGGCCTTGGTTCGACGAATGGCCTCAAGAGAGTGCCACTCTCTTGCAATACCGTCCTTTAATACTGATACAAACCTGATCCACTGGCATTCCGAGTACCCAATCAGCAATTCAATTTTGAAATATCCAATAGTTCCCCACACTAAAAAGACGTACTGTAACTTGCTATTACTGCATTGCTATTCCTATCTGTGGCCAAACCAGCCACTTAAAGTGTAACCCCCCCTGAATGTAATATGATGTAAAGTGTATTCCTGTGTACTGCTTGGTATCTCCTAAGGCAGGAGATGGCTATCTGTAACCCAACCCCCTCCTGCCTGGGACTAAGGGAAGTGTATTGTGTGGATGCAGACCCCCCTGCGGAGGTCTGTGTTTAAAAGAAACTGTAATCATTAAAGAGTTTGACTCAGCCTGGTGAGATGCCAGTGTTTTAACCTCCAAGCTATATGTCGTCTAGTTCATAGGAGAAAAGGATTGTAACTACGCTACCTGCATTTTACCTACATTTTACCTGCTTCATCCTGCCTACCAGCGGAGATACCGTGGATAATACCACTACTCCGCTACAATTGGTGGCAAGCGACGGGATTGAAACTACACAGCAAGCAACGGTCGGCAGAAATTGATACGAATAGAGGAGAAAGAGCAGCAATTCGGGAGTTAACCCATTTGGATGAAACCGGAGCCAGGAACACGTGGAAACCCGCGAACGGCCGGTGAATGGGAACGAAGTATGCTCTTTTAAAACGAAGCACACTAAAAGAATTGCTTGAGGCAAGGGGAGCAATAGCCAGCAACAAGGCAAAGGCTACCCTGATTGCATAACTTATGGAAGGAGACAGAGCGGCAGCTGCTGCAGCACCTCCAATGGAGGAAGAACAAAGTGAATTTGCAAAATAATTCAGAATCAGAATGGCTCTATTCCCAGAGCCACCATCTGCAGAGATGGTCAGCAGGCTTTTCGCAGATGTACAGGAATATATCATGCTCAGAAGGGTGCAGAGGAATCAGCAATCCAGAGAGGGGTCACCGGCTCCACCCAGCATTATACAGGGAAAACCAAAAATTCCCTACCAAGCCTTTAAAAACTTTACGGACACAGAGGGCGATATTGATGGATATTTGCGGGACTTTGAAAGACTGTGCCAGCTGCATGATATCGGGCCCTAAAACCAGGTACCACTGCTGGCCGGTAGATTATCTGGCCGCGCAGCAGAAGCCTACCGGGCAGTGCCTGATGAGGACAGCAGAGACTACCAGAAGGTAAAGCAGGCCATCCTAGTCCGGTAAGCCATTACCCCCGAGGCATACCGACTCCAATTCAGGGACCTGAAAAAACAAGAAAAGGACACCGCTTACACCGAGCAGCCATGGGGTGGATTGATGCGGCGCAAGCAACTACCCGGGAAGATCTCATTCAATTACTTTTGTTGGAACAGTTCTACCGGAGACTAACTACTGATATGCAGAACTGGGTAAGAGATCGTAAACCACACACCTTACAAGATGCGGCTAAATTAGCAGACGAACATCAAGACACCAGGCGAGAGCAGCGCCCACCACCCAGGGTATTCCCCCAGTCGACAAACCACAGGCCTGCCTTGGCCAAAACAGCTCACCCACGATCCGGGGGAGCTAACAACCAATACCAATCTAGGTACCCCACCCGGGCACACATCAGATGCCACACATGCAACAAACCAGGGCATGTACAACGAAAATGCCCCCGAAACAGGGCACGACCATCATGGCCCAACCAAGGCCGACCTCCTGGCACTCGGGCTGCGGTACACTGCTATCAGAATGAATCATTCACCCAGCCCTCCACAGCCCCCATGTGGAGGAACCTCTAGGCACCCTCCATGAAGTTAACCCCGTCCAAGCGGTGTCCGATAACCGACAAAGCCACCGCCAAGTCGTCCACGTAGAAGGGAAGCGTATGGAGGGACTGAGAGATTCCGGGGCCACCATCACCTTGGTCCAAAACCACCGTGTCCCAAAGGACCAGCTTACGGGGGATTGTGTAGCAGTACGGGTGGCAGGGAGAGCGATCTACAAGGTTCCCACTGCCGAGATACATTTGAATTGGGGAGCGGGGTCAGGGAACGTGGAGGTGGGGATGATGCAAGACTTGCCCGCAGATGTTATTTTGGGAAATGACTTGGGGGAGCTCACCTATGCTTTTGTTCCGCGAACCACCGTACAGGAGGCCTACCCAGTCATCACCAGGCAGCAGGCCCGCACCACGGCCCCATCCAGTGACTCTGAGGCTCAGGTAAGCAATGAATCCCATAACCACACTGCCCTTCCCTGGGATGCTCCCCAAGAATTTGGTAGCGAGGTCGCTCTAGACCCATCCCTGCAGGTTTACAAAGACCAAATAAACAAGAACCAGGCAGGCTTAGAAGGAGAGAGATATGCTTGGGATCAAGGGTTATTATACCAGTATGCAGAGAAGGTAGTAGCCAGGTCTATTCCCATACCCATAAAGCAGTTAATTGTGCCTCGAAAGTATAGACAGGAGTTACTGCGCATAGCGCACGAGATACCCTTATCCGGTCATTTAGGTATCAGCCGAACTAAACATTGGCTGATGCAGAACTTCTTCTGGCCAGGTATCTCCAAGGATATTAGGCAATACCGTAAGACCTGTGATACCTGCCAGAGGGTAGGGAAGAGGGGAGACCGCTACAAAGCCAAACTACATTCCCTGCCCATAATAGAAGAGCCCTTTAGTAGAGTAGCGGTGGACATAATCGGACCCCTGAAAAAACCCAGTCCCTCTGGCAAGAAGTACATCTTGACCGTAGTGGACTACGCCACCAGATACCCTGAGGCGGTGGCTCTAACGAATGTACATGCAGAGACAGTAGCGGATGCCCTTATGCAAATTTTCTCCCGCATGGGATTTCCATGGGAGATTATTTCGGATAGGGGTACCCAATTCATTGCAGAGGTCGCCCACCAGCTCTGGAAGGTCTGTGGGGTAAAATCTATCCTTAACTCACCCTACCACCCTCAGTCCAACAGTCTCTGTGAATGGTTTAATGGAACACTTAAGCAGATGATCCGTTTTTACCCCACTTGCTGTTCGCCTATAGGGAAGTTCCCCAAAAATCCACTGGGTTCTCTCCCTTTGAATTATTGTTTGGAAGGAGGGTGAGGGGCACTGGGAGGGGGCAGTGACCACTAATGGTACGCCTATTGTACCCTATGTGCTGGAGTTCTGGGAACGCTTAGAGGCTTTGACTCAAACCGTACGTACCAACTTCCAAGCGGCCCAGCAAAGACAACGCAGATGGTATGATAGGGGGGCCAGGGACCGCAGCTTTCAGGTCGTGCAGAAGGTGCTAATCCTACGACCCGTCCCTAAAGACAAGCTGCAGGCCTCCTGGCAGGGCCCATTCAAGGTGGTAGAGCAAATTTGCGATACCACCTATGTAATTGGCCCGTGCGCTGGAGCAGACGCATGCTCCATGTGAACATGCTGAAGCCTTACCACGAGCGCACAGAGGAGGTGACTGCGATTTGTGCCTCTGCCGCAGAGGATTTTGATAATTTGTCCCTCCCAGACCTACTACAGAAAGAAGGCCAAAATGAGGATCGGGAAGCACTACAGCTAGGGGAGCGCTTAAGTCCCCAGGAGCGGGCCCAGGCCTAACGCTTAATTGCCACCTTTTCTAACTTTCCTGGGTATACCCAGTTAGCCACCCACCGTGTAGAAACCCCAGGGCAGACACCCCTCCGTCAACCTCCTTATCGCATCCTCGAGTCTATAAAAGAGAATAAGCGTAAGGAGATCAAGGAAATGTTACAATTGGGGGTTATAGAACCTTCTGATAGCCCATGGGCCTCGCCAGTAGTTCTGGTGCCGAAGCGTGATGGAACTACCCGCTTCTGCGTAGACTATCGAAGGCTCGATGATAAGACAGTCTCTGATGCCTGGCCGTGGTGTGGGCCCTCAAGAAGCTGCTGCCCTATTTGTACGGACAACCATTCTCGCTACTCACAGATCACAACCCGTTGGTATGGCTGAACCGGGTGTCTGGAGACAATGCCAGGCTGCTGCGCTGGAGTTTGGCGCTGCAGCCTTTTTGACTTTACCATCCACTACCGCCCGGGAAAGCTAAATGGCAACGCTGACAGGTTATCCAGACAAACTGAACTTGAAAAGTGATCTGTGAGTACTCCTCCGGACATCCCCAAGCCGATCCGTTGGGATCAGACTGTGTATGGCGGCTTGGTTCTGGGGGAGCATTGTGGCAAACCTAGCCACTTACAGAATGTCCTTGTATATATCTTGCTATTACTGCATTGCTATTCCTATCTGTGGCCAAACCAGCCACTTAAAGTGTAAACCCCCCCTGAATGTAATATGATGTAAAGTGTATTCCTGTGTACTGCTTGGTATCTCCTAAGGCAGGAGATAGCTATCTGTAACCCAACCCCCTCCTGCCTGGGACTAAAGGAAGTGTATTGTGTGGAATGCAGACCCCCCTGCGGAGGTCTGTGTTTAAAGGAAACTGTAATCATTAAAGAGTTTGACTCAGCCTGGTGAGATGCCAGTGTTTTAACCTCCAAGCTATATGTCGTCTAGTTCTTAGGAGAAAAGGATTGTAACTACGCTACCTGCATTTTACCTACATTTTACCTGCCTACCAGTGGAGATACCGTGGATAATACCACTACTCCGCTACATGAGGCCCTAAGAAAATAACCCATCCCACATAGCTGGGGTTACCCTGTAAAGCTCCCAATCTACAGAAATGGAAAATATCATCAGTGGTATTCCCGGTTGAGGGAACTTGCTTGCTGCACTTCTAGGAATTGTCTTCAGCATCTCCCGGGAGGAAGTCTCCAATTTTGCTGACATTTTCGCATGAATGGAAAAGAGTCTGTAAGTGATTAATGGATGGGCAAAGACCAAGCTTGATCTAAGAGACTAGCTATATAGATGGATGCTCATGGCAATGTGTACCCAAGTCACAGATGTCTGGGGGGACATACAGCTACTGTTGGTACTTTCTTTTTTTTTAGTGAAGTTAGCTTTATAGTTCACCATGACCCTTGGGGGCCGCACTGCCCCTGCACTCATAGACGGTTGTCAGTTATGAGTAGGGGGGAAATAGGGGATATTAGGAGAAGAATTACAGCTAAATATTTCCCTTCCTCCCCCCCCCAATAATTCTGCACCCCAGTTTTCTTTCCCCTATATGACCTTGTCAATTACGTGGTACTACCAATGACAGACAATAGGGTATCGTACACGCAAAAGATTTGACCCAGCCCGAGGAGGTTGTGCACTAATATACAGTATTACCTTTTACCAAACAATATACATGCAACCAATTCATAGTACAACATTTCAGGATTAAGTATCCACCCTGGCTTAACAAGTTTTCTCCTGTATTTTACTATGAAAATATACTCGCATAACATAAAGGAGCTGACTACTCCACTAAAGAGGTTCTCCCTTATCTAAGAATTCAGATGCTGACATAGTTCACTTCAAGGGGGTCAATTTCAAATGTACACCCAGACATTATGCTCACTGCTACTTCACTGACAGCCAAAAGATTTAAACCTCAATGCAACACACTGCTGACACTACTTCAATCTGAAAACATATATTACACAAGACATGTGACCTATCTCAGTTGCACAGAATACACTTTCTTCTCTCAAGTCCACAATTCATATTGCCGCATTGATGGGTTTTATACGTCTGATTCTGATATCGAACAAGTGATGGAGTGTACCATTGGTTTGATTTATTTGTCAGGTTATGCACTGGTCCTATTATCTCTTAAAGACTAGAACTAGTGGTATATATTAAGCAATATTTTGAATTGAACAACACAACCGACACTAGCCCTGCCATCATAGGTTTGGCACACAAGCCTGTTTTTAGAGTGTTGTTGATTTGGAGAGAAAACTATCTTAAACTCACATCCCAAACTCAATTGTTGGAATTGCTCTATGATTTAACCACCACCTACACCCTTCTTTACTATTGAGAGAACGAATACAAGGATGTTACCTGTAGGCTTAATTAATATAATTTAAATAAGTGGCTTATAATTTAAAATAAGCTTAAAACTATTCATTATGCCCAAGGTAATCATGCTGGGAAATTACTAACAAATAGAATGAAAGATAGGCAGGTAACACAGACAATTCTATTAATGGCATCTTCTACTGGAACAAAAGTGCTTACTTCAAAAACGATTGGGGATGCGTTTGCCAGATTTTATTTCCAATTATATAACTTGATTAACAACCCGTCAGACAGGGAATACAGAGATATAGTAACTCTGCGATCCTGCTAACTCTGTCCCCTGAACACAAAGAAACATTGGCTGCACCAGTTATGGCGGAGGAAGTGTTTAAAATAATAAAAATCTTGCCCTCAGGCAAATCCCCTATTCCAGATAACTTTTCTAACATGCACTACAAATGCTATGGAAATTTGTTAGCCACCCATTTTATTTAATCATGCAACATTATCGCAAGATCTTCCACAGGAGATAGAAGCTGCATTCATAGTAACCTTTCCCAAACCAGGAAAACCATCCACGCAATGTAATCATTCTCTTTTAAATTCTGATGGAAAATTAATGGACATAATTTACATGACCTGATTAAACTTACCAGAAAAATAGAATTGTAAGCAAAATTATTTAACTGCCACTAAAAATCAGGTTTATTGTCAAAATTTACAGACTTTTAGCTGTTTACAATGAACAAATCAAACAAAAGAAATTGAAATAGCTCAACACAACGAATGCTTCAAGTTGTTCCCCTAAATTTAACTGAAAATGCAACTTATAATGACTTCTTCATTTTTAAAATTATTCAACCTCTTCATGGCAAGTATCTTTAGTACTTACTAGAGCACTCATTTGCTGTTATGACCTACTACATGACAGACAAGTTTCTGGCAGTGTTGCTGAGCTCTCATGAACAATGGCCCCCAGTTCAGTATTATTCTTGGGCTTGTGTGCTGCAACCGCATTCTTCAAATCCCACCAGACATTTTCTATGGGGCTCAAGTCAGGTGATCGTGATGGCCACTGTAGAATTTTCCAGGGCTTCTTCTGCAACCAAGCCTTGGTGGAATTTGAGGTATGCTTGGGATCATTGTCTTGTTGGAAGTTCCAATGACACCCAAGTTTAGCTTCCTTACAGAAGGCATGACGTTTTCGCCTAGGAATTCGTGATACCTCAATTAATCCAACGTGCCTTCCACACGCTGCAGGTTTCCTGTGCCAGAGGATACAAAACCGCCCCAGAACAGTACTGAGCCACCACTAGAGTGTTCTTTTCAGTGTATTTTTCAAAAGTTCCAGTTTTGGTTCATCACTCCATAAAACCGAATTCCAAAACTTCTTTGGCATATGTATATGCTTTTGAGCATACTGAGTTTTGGTGTTCATCTTGGAGTTCTGGCATGGACACCTCATGCGTTAGTACGTGCCTTACTGTGATCACTATAACCTCAATGCCTGTTGCCACCAAGTCTTGCTGCAGGTCTTTTGCAGTCACTCAAGGGTTTTTCACAACCTGCCGTCCCAAAAATCTGGTTGCAGCCATTGATAGCTTCCTTTTTTCCCTCCAGTCCAGGTAGTGTAACCACTGTTCCTTCAACTTTGAACTTGCAAATTATGCCTCCAACAGTGTCTCTAGGAACATTCAGTGCTTTCTCTATCTTTTTGTATACTGTTCCTTGTTTGTGAAGGACGAAGATCTCTTCTCTTAAGTTTGTGGACCATTCTTTTGACTTAGTCATATTTCTACATACCGTCAAACATGACAATCAAGAAACTCCAAGCAAGTTCAGGTATTTCATGTGTTCCAGCTCAAGCACACCTGGTGCAACTTTATCAGTTGCATTAGGTAGGCTTGAGACAACATCTGTTTTGCATATTTGTGCTGATGTGAGGGATTCTATTAATGGGGATGAATAATATTGAGACTGGAGTAGTCATTATAAGCTGCATTTTCAATTCAATTTGGGGAAACCACTTGAAGCATTGGTTGTGTTGAACTATTTCAATTGTTTTTGTTTGATTTGTTCATTGCAAACAGCTGAAAGTCATTGAAAAGAGAAGGCAAGGTTCAGAAAATAAGAGATTTAGTATATAGCCTATGACAAACAAAGCGGGGGGGGGGGGGGTGCTGGTATCCCTAGATGCTGGTATTGATGATGTTGCTACTTGCAGTGTATGTGTGTTAGAGGGGGTGTAATGTGTGTGTTTGTGAGAGGGGTGTAGTGTGTGTAAGGGCTGCAGTGTGTGGGGCGTGCATTGTGTGTGTAAATGAGGGATGCAGTGCGTGTGAGGGGTGCAGTGCGTGTGAGAGGGTGCAGTGTGTTTGTATGAGGAGTTCTCTGTGTGTTAGGGGTGCTGTGTGTTTGTGGGTGCAGTGTGTTTGTGTAAGGTATTCTGTGTGTGTATGTGTGTGTGAGAGGGGTGTAGTTTGTGTCAGGAGTCTACATTGTGGTGGAGAGGATCAGGGAGAAAATCTATATTTTTTTAATTAAAAAGAGGGGGAAAAATATATGTGCCCCCCTTCCTTCTTCTTACCTCTGGCCTGGAAGGAGAGGACATATCACTGAAATCCCTGGTGGTCCAGTGGTTTCTTGTGCACCTTAGCCTACAGCTCCTCCGGCTGCAGGATGACTTCACTATTTTCTTCCTGTTGCTATGGCATGTTCGCGGGAGGATTGCAGCCTCCTGGGTCCTAGCTTCTTCCCTCTCCTTTAACAAACTGCCCGGAGACTGGTGAGGGATATCTTTGATCTCCCCACCGGCCCAAAAAAGGCAGATAGCAGGGCCAGCTCTCCACGGGCCGATGCAAATGATTTTGCAGGCCTTATGCGGCCCATGGGCCGGACGTTCCCCACCCCTGGGTTAGAGGGAGAGATGTTAAATAGACTTAAAGAATCTTTCAATTTTGACGGAGTTACAAGCCACTTCAGCAAGTATTGAAATGACCCTTAAATCATGGAATATGACGTTTATCTCCTGGACCAGGCGCATAGCAGCAGTAAAAATGTGCCTCTTACCCAAATTACAATACAATTACAATATTAATTCCACTGCTTACAAATGCCTTTACCTAACAAATATCTAACTGACTTACAAAAGTTATTGGTACAATTAATTTGGCAAAAAAAACCAACCAAACAACAACAAATCCCCAATCAGGAAGGATCTTTGCGAACATATACAGACTTGAAAGAGCATTACCAATTACCATCTACTACTGTTTTCTCACATTTACAACTCAAATCCCATTTAGCTGTTACAAAGATTGGCCCTTTCTGGCAATAGTCTGAACAGCACTTATCACCTTTTGAACAATCTTGTTTTAAGGATAAAAAAGTGTTTTCCCAAAGTTTTTCAATTGTTAAAGGGGAGGTGACCACACAGAGTCCTGGATATATCAAGGTCTGACACGAAGACATTGGGCAAACGTTTCCTTCTACACAAGGGAGTGATCATTTAGCATCCCCCAAAAAATGAACCTCCAATGTGTCCCATATGGAATTGATGCACAAAATTTTATACCGCTGGTAACAGGTTTCTGACTAGTACTAATTATGCTGGAAATGCAGCTCAGAAGTGGGTACAATGTATTGTATATGATAAACATGTCCACTTATAGTATCACACTGGGTGAGGGTTGAGAGACTATTATCTTCCTTGCTTGTCTCTAGTTTTAATCCCAAACCCAAGATTTGTTCATTATTCCACCTGCCAGGTTGCTATTCTGGTGCTAACATTAAATTATTACTCAAGGTATTGCTAGTGTCAAATACACTAATTGTCTTGGCATCGAAATCCTCTAACAACACAACTAACCAAGATTATTTTTGAATATTTTTTCCTTTGTTATCAACAAAGTGAACAAAAAAGAAATCATTGGTTAGATCCAGCCTGGATTGTCCTTTTAATTCTTCTGAAGGAATTTGTAAGTACAAACTGAGATTCCGCTGACAAAACAAAAGCTGATAAATAACAAAAGCTGATATATATATAAAGGAAAATTTATCCATACTTACCGTAATTTTCTTTTCCTAGTCGTATGCCATGGCAGCACAACGATGGGTAGCTCCTCCCTACCCCTAATTAGACAGGAACTTATTAAAATAAATGTATAAGTACCTCCTCCTATCCCCTCCTCCCTCAGTCTTGTTACTAGCAATATCCCAGGGCGGGAACTTTGTGCTGCCATGGCATATGACCAAGAAAAGAAAATTACAGTAAGGATGGATACATTTTCCTTTTACCTGGCCATATCCATGGCAGCACTACGATGGGTAATACCCAAGCAATAACCAAGGGAGGGAAGAAGAAAAAAAAACCACAGACTGCGAAATATCATATGCAAAGTGTATTGGTATCACAAACCAAGTGACAAACACCAAGGAATCAAGGGTTTCACACAGAAAGGACACTTTTAGCAAATTGGTCTGAATAACCGGCTCTGACATTTACTTGGTAATGTCTGATGAAAGTATTGGCAGAGGACCAAGTGGCAGCTCTACAAAGCAGCTCAGGAGAGACCTTGGCAGAGGAGGCCAAAGAGGAGGAAAGGGATCTCATGGAATGAGCTTTGAGTCCATGCGGGACTGGAGCTTTCGAGGCCTGATAAGCTTGGATGATGGCTGATACAATCCATCTGCTAATGGTAGATTAAGGAGCCTGACTGCCCTTTCTACATCCGTTATAAAAGGACAAAGAGGCCTGAAGATGAACGCCAAGGGGCGGTTCTGTCAATGTAGATTCTGAGGCATCTCACCAAATCCAAGGAGGAAAGATCTCTGTCATCACCATCTACTTGTGGAACCGGATGCAGAGCTGGGAGAACAATTTCCTCATTAATATGAAAGGCATAGATGACCTTAGGCCGAAATTCTGGGATAGTACGAAGGACGACCCTGTCCTTATGGAAGACTGTGAAAGGCTCCTTGACCGACAGAGCATGAAGTTCCGAACCATTCCTGTGAACAAACTAACGTTCACCAGAATTCATGCTCACAGCCAAAATTCAAGAAAACGGCAAACTTTTAGGCGAACGGCTAAAAGCATGAACGGACACAAAACCAATCAGCAAACCATACGATTGCATGTGCGTTCGAAAAAACGAACGACAAGTGAAAATGAAAGAATCCACAGGGACTTACCCCTTCAGAAGGACAGCAGGAAAGGCAGAGGGAAGCCGGAAAAAGAGAGAAGTCCAGACCAGCAAGGTACACGTCCAGGTCCATATTCACCTACCCACTGCTACCCCTAGGGTCACTGCAGCATTAAGGAACCAGGCATAATAGTTTACTACCCCTTGAGTTACAGCAAGTACCAGACCTCCGGTCACTAAAGGGGTACTCTCCAGGGGGTCACCTTTGCGCAGGGCCATGTAACAGGAGACTTCCCAAGGGAGAGAGGTTGAACTCCTAAGGGGCCAGGGGAACATATCCCCAGGTAAGCCATAAAAGAAAAATAATAGTTCCAAGGAAAAAATACATGTCCTATAGGGATAGGACAGGAACAAAATGACTGAGGCAGGAGGGGAAAGGAGGAGGTACTTATAGATTTATTTTAATTAGTTCCTGTCTAATTAGGGATAGGGAGGAGCTACCCATTGTTGCGCTGCATTGGATATGGCCAGGATATATATATATCCAACATATAACCAAAAATATGTAAGAAGTGGGTACTCAATGGATGGTGTTATTTAAAAAATTAAATATATATATATATTTTTTAAAATAACGCCGTCCATTGAGTGCCCACTTCTTCCATATTTTTTGATTATATGTTGGTTCCAGTTGGTTAAGCACCAAGGCGTTGAAATACAATTGATCTTTGGCATGATTTGCCACTGAAATAGAGGGTATGCCCTATTTTCTTTGGTCTATTTATATACATAAATATAAAATAATGCACTATATATACACAAATATAAGGTATGGTAGTCTGCACTCATGGTCTTGGTTAAAATGTAGCGTTTATTCCCTCATAGTTAAAATGTGCACATGGTAAAGTGCATATAGTGATGCGAAAAGGTTGACGTTTCAGTCCTAGTGTGGGATTTCCTCAGGACAGCATAACCAGGACCAGGACTCAGAACAGTATTTATTCACTAAGATAAGGTTAAATCACATCAATGTTCCTGTCCATACCCAAACTCATCAGGATAACCACATTATACAACCTCCAAACATTAAATATATTCATAAATGTATAGAAGCTCAGGACTCCCCTACAGAAGAATATTTTCAGTATTCCGCCTGGGTGCTACCTGCTTTGAATATATACAAAAAGAATCAGCAAAAAGCTCACAGGTGTTCCAAATGTCCAAATAATTTTTATTAAATATTAAAGACCTGTGAATGTACATTTGTTTTTTTGTCACAGATCTTACGGTAACCACAGCCTTCTAGGGTAATCAAAGTTCAGGACATATCCAGCTCAGTTTTCCAGATTTATTTGGTGCAAAATATACAGGTGCTTAAAAATAAATATAAAACAAAATTAATTTCTCTCTTTTTTTAATAAATTCTTTATTTTTCACGTGCACTAGATATATTACATGCTGGAAAATGCCATAGTAGTTGAAACAAGTGTAATAATAACAATGATCGTTGGTCAAGAATATGGCTGTTTGTAGGCTGCAAATTATTATTATTTAATAATTGAATGTTGGCCTGAAAGGCATTAATGGATGTTGTCTAGCGTGCCATTACAGTGGCGATATAGTGTGTGTGGTGGGTAATGAGTGGTCTTGGTAATGTCATGCGAGTTCCTCCTGCTGCTAGTAGATGCCTTGTCTAGTGGTCTATCGTGTATCTGGCAGTCCGCCTGTCTAATATGTGGGGACTATGTGATGTGTGACGCGTCCGTGAGGGGGGGTCGAGGGTCTGCGATCTGCCAAATAGGTTAGTCTCCCCTGTGACCCTGGGGAGTGGGGGATGCAGGCATGGGGACGAAGGAGTGAGCGGGCTCCTCATGGCCTGGTCTCTGTCTGGGAACTATGTGGAAGTTAGGGAAGCAGTGGGGCTGCTTAGTGAACATCATTTGTGAGAATAATTGTGTCCCGAGGTCGGTTCCTTTAAAGCCTATCCTGGTGAGTCTAGGGCAGCCATTAAAAACATATAAGGAAGCATAACAGAAAGTTTAACAATAATGATAAGAGAAAAGCCAATGATCAAAACTATGAAAAAGAAAAAATACATAAAAACCAGGGTGTCAGACCCGTAATATATTGTCCTGCATTATGGGAGAATGTCCTGGTGCGAGTGCTGGGACCTCATGTGGTCGCTGCTGCGTACTCCGGTTTTCCCGTTCCCTGTGGGATGAAGGGGATTATCTTCGCTGGATCCCATCTTGGGACCATTGCTGTTGTTTCCGGTGCAGTGGTGGGCGGCAGCCCCTCCAGAGGCAGGCCCAGCGTTCGCAGCAAGGTGGGTGCTTCTTGGATGTCTGAAATGGAGTAGGCCTTGTTGTATGTGTAGAGTGCGTGGCGTGCGCCAGCGGTAAGTAATCTGTTTCTCTCGGAGCAGTTTGATGACAGGTAGCAGGGACCTGTGCCACTGTAGACTTTCCCCGATAGGTCTGCAAAAAAGAACAAAGTCATTGATTCAAAGCTGTAGGTGGCTGCTCCCTTCAGGGCTGCGAGTACCGCCATTTTGTCAGCCGTGCTCCTGTACTTCACCACCAGGTCTCTGGGGCTGCCTCAGGGGCTCTCTGGGGTTTTGGGATGCGGAAGGCCGCATCGAAGCCGACGTTCCTGGCTTGCTTAGGCGTCAGTAGGGCTCCCGTGAGCCTCCGTAGCAGGTGTGGAATTTCCTCAGCGGGTATGTCCTCCGGGATCCCGCGTATCTTGAGATTATTGCGGCGCCTATTGTCTTCTATTGCCGCAAAGCGTTGGTCAGTTTTGGCCTGCTTTTGTTTTAAAGCTTGCAATTCCTGCCTGAGCTCTGATATTTCCTGTGCTTGCTGCTTGGAGGTGACTTTGACCGCTTGAACACGGCCCACTAGGCCCGTGAGGTCCGCGCGTAGCTGAGCGACATCCGCCTGGAGGGTTTTCTGTAAGTCTCCCAGGAGAGTCTTCAGCAGCATCGCCGTCACTGGTTCTGCAGCCTCTGGGCTTGGAGGTAGGGTGGTAATGGCTTCTTCTGGATAGAAATCCCCTGAGGAGTCAGAGAATTCCTCGAGGTCGGCGGCCATCTTTGGGCCGTATGCACCTTGTGCCTGGTTGAAGAGGTCTCTTATGTTGGCCCCCTGTTTGGGTCGGTCCGGTTTTTGTTTCTTGATTTTCCTTCCCATTCCCGTTTTGGGTTGTTTGGGCGTTATCATCCGCAGTTTGGTGGCTGAAAATCGTTATTTTGCTCTGGATAGACACGGAGCCCATCTATCCTGCGTCCGTTCGGATCGGCTGCCAAGCTCCGCCCCCCCCCCCTGTTTTTGAGTTTCTGCTCACTCTGTATATTCTCTTCATTTCTCTTTTTTGAGCACTTACTAAACACAGTATCACTATCTGGAATTGGGTGGCTTTCCCACTTCCCTCACTCTGCAGCTGGCTGATCCATTAGACTGGAAGAAAGAAAATTTTGTCTAAGGCAAAGGAAAGTTTTTTTTACTGTAAGAACAATCAGGATGTGGAATTCTCAGCCTGAAGAAGTGGTTTTATCAGAGTCCATACAGATGTTCAAACAGCTACTAGATGCATACTTGCAAAAACAGAATATTCAAGGATATACTCTTTCAATGTAGGGTAATAACTGCTTGATCCACGGATAAATCTGACTGCCATTCTGGGGTCAAGAAGGAATTTTTTTCCTAGCTTGTTGCAAAATTGTGCTTCAAACTGGGTTTTTTTGTCTTCTTTTGGATCAACAGCAAAAAACAAATGTGAGGTAGGCTGAAATTGATGGACGCAAGTCTCTTTAACTATGTAACTATGTAACAAGCCTGCCTGCTAATTGACCAACTACAGATGAGTGTCAATTAGTTCACTTCTCTGTAACTCTTAAAAGTTAAATCCAAGTTATGGTCTGTTACAGAGCAACTAGTGCTGTTGGAGCACTGGCCCACCCTGCCGACGTGAGAGATTGCCTCACATTTTACAATTAGGCATGGAAGGGGAGTGTTCCCAATAGTTTTAAACTTCATCCTCCCTTCACATTATCATACTAATGATTGGGAACACTCCCCTTCCATGCCTAATTGTTAAATGTGGGGAAAATCTCATTCATTTATGACTACAGCCCCCATAATGCTTAGCGGCCGGATCATTATGATGCGCTGATGATGTGCTTTGGAGATTAAAGCCGTTTACACACTTAATAATGCTTGTTTTATATAATTTTATATACAATCTGATCTTTTATCACTAAATCTACTGTCTACATTTTCCGTTATTTTTTCACAAACACTATCTGCTTTTCTATTGGACAAAGCATTATGGCGCCAATTTTAATTTGTTTTATGCCTATATAAACCTTAACTTGCCAGGTGAAACGCATTTGCATGTATGTTAAATTTGTTTTTTAATTAATAAATAGATTTTGGTCCCTTTACCAGTTGTGCCACTATTTTTATTATTTTTTTATTTTACTCTTCAATCAACCTGGCATCTACTACTTTTTTTCCTGTTCTACTCCAAAGAATCCCAGGTGTGGATTATATGACCTATGCTGTTGTCATGGAGCAGTTAGCCTGCTCTATCTTTGTGAGTACTATTCTTAAAAATTTTTACTTAATATTTAAAATTTGAGAGCACTATTGATGCCTTTTATTTCTGTCATTCTGGGTTCCTCATACTTCTATCACCAAGAACACTCACGTCAGATCCTTTAAGTGGAGATCATACCACTGTACGCTATACACACCAGAGCTGGCTTAAGCTCTACCAAACGTGAGTACAACCCCATTTATTCCCTATTTTACCTATACCCAGTGAGATTTAATGCACTATTGGCGTCTTCATTCTCTTATCACCCTTCTCTACATATACGGACACTGGTGAAGTGTAAAGAACACCCTGTCTGACTCTTAAGCCTTATTGGTTTCAAGTATCTTACACAAGACTTTGTGAACTATATAAAGATATATCTATATTGTATTGTTCTATTGTGGCGCAGCCTTACCCTATCTTTGTGTTCCTGTCACACCAGATACGGACTAGTTTTCGGACCCCCCCACCCCCAACAGAGTAAAACTGCGCATTTTAGAGTGGCCTTTTATTGTGGCCAGCCTAAGGCACACCACATTGTCCAGCGCTACGGAATCTGATGGCGCTATATAAATAATATAATAATAAAAAATAATAATAATCATGCTGTCTAATCAGCATCTTGATATGCCACACCTGTGAGGTGGATGGATTATCTTGGCAAAGGAGAAGTGCTCACTAGCACAGATTTAGACAGATTTCTGAACAGTATTTGAGAGAAATAGGCCTTTTGTGTAAATAGAAAAAGTCTTAGATCTTTGAGTTCATCTCATGAAAAATGGGGGCAAAAACAAAAGTATTGCGTTTATAATTTTGTTCACTGTATATATACACACACACAAACACAATTAAATATATATATATATATATATATATATATATATATATATTGTGGTGGACCACCTGGCACCCCGACTGGGTGCCTCTGCCAATCACTGCATCCTAGTAACTCCAAGTACTTCCAAGCACTCCACCAGACACTTTTAGCACTGTAGACCGTTAGCCGCCACAGCTTGGCTGGGGTCTTGCTGTCCTCCACCCACCCTGGACCCAAGACCAGGATCCAGCTTCCAGTGCGTAGACCTCTCTCAATCTAGAGGGTAAAGCAGGATAGCTCTTACAAGAGCTAGTGATTACACCCTGTTCCAAATTATTATGCAAGTTATATTTTTCTCATTTACCTAAATAATTGATGTAAATGACAGTCAGCATAATTCTCATGTTATCAACTATTAAGAGTACAATTCAAATTGTATTGAACAAACCTCCTAATGAAAACAATATTTTTTTTTCAACATAAAAAACTTACAATGCACTGTTCCAAATTATTACGCACACTAAGTTTCAAAACACTTTATAGGTTGTAAAGAACTGAAAATTTTTATTTGTTGTGTTTGCAGCATATTTACTGAAATCAAAAGCTATTTCAATCAATCAAACTTATAACACCATTTTAACTTTTTAAACATTTTAACAGGTCACGTTATATTTTAACATAGGACCCCTTATTTGATAGCAGCTTCACAAGTCTTGCATCCATTGAACTTGTGAGTTTTTGGACAGTTTCTACTTGAATTTGTTTGCAAGATGTCAGAATAGCCTCCCAGAGCTGATGTTTGGATGTAAACTGCCTCCCACCCTCATAGATCTTTTGCTTGAGGATGCTCCAAAGGTTCTCAATAGGATTGAGGTCAGGGGAGCATGGAGGCCACACCATGACGTTCTCTCCTTTTATCCCCATAGCAGCCATTGATGCAGAGGTATTCTTTGCAGCATGAGATGGTGCATTGTCATGCATGAAGATGATTTTATTATGGAAAGCATAGTTCTTACTTCTGTACCAGGGAAGAAAGTGGTCAGTCAGAAACTCCACATACTTTGCAGAGGTCATCTTTACACCTTCGGGACCCTAAAGGGGCCGACCAGCTCTCTTCCCATGATTCCGGCCCAAAACATGTCTCCACCACCGCCTTGCTGACGTCGCAGCCTTGTTGGAACAGGGTGGCCGTCCACCAGCCATCCACTACTCCATCCATCTGGACCATCCAGGGTTGCATGGCACTCGTCAGTGAACAGGACTGTTTGAAAATTAGTCTTCATGTATTTTTCTGCCCAATGCAGCCGTTTCTGCTTGTGAACATTGGTTAGTGGTGGCCGAATAGAAGGTTTATGCACAGTTGCAAGACTCTGGAGGACTCTACACCTTGATGTCCATGGGACTCCAGAGGCACCAGCAGCTTCAAATATATGTTTGCTGCTATGTAATGGTATTCTAGCAGCTGCTCTCTTGATCCGATGCATGGATCTGGCAGAAATCTTCCTCAATGTGCCTTTATCTGCACAAACCCATCTGTGCTCTGAATCAGCCACAAATCTCTTAATAGTGCGATGATCACGCTTAAGTTTTCGTGAAATATCTAATATTTTCATACCTCGTCCAAGGCATTGAACCATTTCACTCTTTTCAGCAGCAGAGAGATCCTTTTTCTTCCCCATATTGCATGAAAATGGTGCTCTGCTTAATAATGTGGAACACCCTCCTTTAGTAGTTTTACCTTAAATTGGGCTCACCTAGCAATCTAATTATCACAGGTGTCCGAGATTGTTTTCAGTGATCAAAAGAGCCCTGAGACACAATGCCATCCATGAGTTAAACTGAAAAACAAAATATTTAATCTTTGTGACACTTAAATAGAATTTGCATAATAATTTGTAACAGAGTGTATATAATCCAAGAGGGTCATCCTTATATGGTATAGTACTGTGGAGGTTTGGCAACACTGTGAGCTCTCCTTCCTAACACTGGTAAGGAGGTGTACAGATCACCCCAGTTGTACCATGGAGGTGCCGTATTACATGAACCTATTGTGACCTGTGGTCTGTGCATACAGTGATAGAGCGTACTCTGTGGGTATAAGCCCCTAATAGGGCGCAGGGGGTCACCCTGTCTGTAAGGGGGGGTCATCCCTGTATATGTATGCCACTTAGGACTGGTGCAAGACTTGCTTGGGGGTCACCCAGCGTAGAGGGGGTCACCCCTGTAATATAATCAATTAGGTGCACCCACATATGTATCTTGAATAGTGTTGCTCCAATTGAGGACTGGCTGACAATGAAATTAGTTAACGTAAAGCTTTGTGCAGATGCTCTTGCTGCTTTGGTCTCTCTAATACTGTGGCATGTTCCCTTTCTTCTACACTCACTACATGCACCTTTTCTCTGTCCCAGACTGTATAACAGGAGCTTCTGCCTGCTATTAATAATGTAAGGAGAGGAGTGGACTAGTGAGTGCTAGAAAGTGTGGAGTGAGCGCATCACTTGATGCATTTATGCAAAGCTTAGGGTGCTGTCTGCATAGTATGCCCTTAGATGGCCATCCTGCATGATTGGCAGGCAACCTGACATGCATTGACACCAGGAAGGCCTTCCCATTCATCATGTAGACATGCCCCTTTTCTGGCATGTTCGCCCCTTTAGGAGGTTCTGGTTACATGATTCATGTCAGTGGCCTAACTTTTTTCCCCGCCCACTGACATCCTGCTTCAACGGACCATGCTGTTAAGGGGTATGGATTTACTTGGAAGATGAAAGAGAGAGATTAGCATAGTGTATGTGTTTTCTTATAGCTACATCCTGTGAGTTTCCCTCCAGCACCATCAGATACATGACGCTTGGGAGGTATGACTGTTTTAGTGTTTTCTGTCGATAAGATTCTGTAATTAGGCCCATGATAATTGTCAGCACCAGGTCCAATGGGGTCTTAATCTTGTCCTGGTTATGGTGCCATTAGGCTGTGGGTGCTTGATCAAATTATTTTTGAGAGGCACTCCCAACTGATCCATGCTCTCTGGAAAATGTTAGTGCAGAAGCTGCTTACAGCCTAAAGTCATTATAACTATATCAGCATTTAGATGCTATGATGCCTATACTGTTAATTTATTGTCTGCATACCACTCTATGGACCTAGTTTCAGTTAGTGTCGCTTATCTCTTTATTATCTCTATAGGAAATGTTAAATGTTACAGCAGCCTCTACCAGTAGCAAACAGGGAAATTTTGTAACTCGAAAGCGGCCACAAGGCCCTGAATTTACTGACAGCCGTTTTAAACATTATTGATTTGTTGGTAACTTATACATACATCCCAGATGTGGGGATTATTCCACTTCATGCTATACACACCAATGCTGGATATAGCTCTGGTAAATATGAATAGAATAGAACCTATATAATATCTAATATATCTCAATATATACTGTACCAATGGAGTCTTCTCTCATATTTAAACATAGACACAAGTTTAAAATCATGGTAGGGGAGATAAGATGTTATGCTACAGCAAGGGAAATTAGAAAAAAAATATAAAAAGTGACTTGAATTAACACAATATACAAATATATAAACATGGTATTGGAGTGAGAATGACTGCCTTAAGGACACAGTACCAAATTGCTTGGGGAAAATAGATGAAGGAATTAGTTCGTAGAGTAGACAGAGAAACCGGAAATAGTTTTGACAGAGAATATGCAGGTGTGGAACAGGATAGGACACCGGAGATGTGGAATCATGGTGGTTATAACAGAAAATAAAACGTATTCGATTACAAAGTAGATACATTGATGAAAGTGATTATTACAGTGTAAGATCAATGGTTATGCCACAATATTAAATGGTTACTCCAACCACCATGACCCCTTCAACTTTTATAAGTGGTGGTCGTGGTGGTAGGAGTCTGTATGTGCAGACACCTGCACAGGAGGAGGACTGGGACAGATAAGGGCATAGAGCAAATTAAAGTGTTCATATGGCATGCAGAAGGCAAAGTAATCACAGACAAGTTAGAGGAACTGAAAATATTCAACTGAAATGGAAAACAATATATTAAGCAGGAAAATATAAGGTTAATTTATCATTGTTTCTCACCTATTTTTCTATACCAGTGTGCTTCATTGGAACGCTTGTCATGGCTTAAAAACCCTTCATTCATAGAGTCTGAGAGCTTCTTGTGAGCTTTAACAAAATGAATGTGTAATACAAAGATGTGAGACAATGGCATTTCAGGTTACCAGGTATACCTTGACACTTGTCGTACAAACATTGCTACTGAAGTATGTATTAAAATGATTCAAAACGTTTACAGATATTGAGGGTATGTCACTGCAAATGACATTTATTGCAAGTATTGGTGGTTAATCTTAGGGCAATGCCTCAACATTTAACTGCTACAAAATTATTTGAAGATAAAAATTCTACTTTTACAGAATCTCTTTTCGAATGTAGTATAAAATAAAATTGGAATAAAAGGTTTATTTGTGAATGTTCAGCAGTTTTGATTTGTGTGTGTGTGGAGGGGCATAATTTCTGCCTTTTAACATTTTTAAAATCAAATTTAGGCTTCCATCTAAAAAAAAAAAAAAAAAAAAACTTTTTGGGAATGTGTAATATGGGAAGGAATGAAGGCAGCCAAATTATTTTAATCCAGTGATCAGCCACAACATTAAAACCACCTGCCTAATATGATGCATATGTCATGTTGACATAATAGCTTTGATGCATTGAGGCATGGACACCACAAGACCAATGAACATATCATGGGTTGTCTGGAACAAGACACAGCAGATCCTTTACGTGCTGCTAGTTAAGAGGTGTGGCATCCATGGATCAGATTTGTTGCTTCAGGACATCCCAAATATGCTCAATCGGATTGGGATATGAGAAATTTGGAGGCCAAGGGAACATCTTGAACTCTGTTATATTCCTCAAATCATTCCTGAACAATTTCTTGCATCGTGACAAGGTGTATTATCCTGCTGAAAGAGGCCACTGCCATCAGGAAACACCATTGCCATGAAGGGGTGTATGTGTTTTGCAACCGTTCCTTAGGTAGGTAGTACGTGTCAAAGTAACAGCCACATGAATGCCAGGACCCAAGGTTTTGAAGCATAACATTACCAGCGCATAATACTGCCTCTGCCCGTTGGCCTGCCTTCTTCCCATAGTGCATCCTGCTGCCATCTCTTCCCCAGGTAAACAACACATATGCTCCAGCTCTGGCGCTCATGTCCCTATTAAAGGCGCTTTCGCAGTGGACAGGGGTCATCATGGGCACTCTTACCAGTCTGCAGCTATGCAGTCCCATTCACAGCAAACTGTGATGCACTGTGTGCTCCGACACCTTTCTATCCTGGCCTGCATTAAGTTTTTAGCAATTTGACCTACTGTAGTTCTTCTGTGCGATTGGACTAGACGGGCTAGCCTTCGCTCCCCACGTGCAATCAAAGGGGCACTCTTTGCGCCAACAAAATGTAAAGTGGCCCTGTCATCACAAACTTGCCTTTTTCCCACTGTTTCCACTTCTCTTTTCTGAACTATTTTTCTTTAAAACATAAGACAAAGTAGAGACAAAAGGGTGGAGCTTGAGGCAAGCTCCATTTTCTCTGTCAAGCTAACAAAGCTTGCCTTTAGCTCCACCCGATCAATATTCATCCTTCTACAGTTTTATGGTATTTAATGGGGTAATAAAGATGATAAGTCTCACTGTGCCAGGGGTGAAGTACAACATTTGGTTATTAAGTGGAAAGAGTCCAGTGAGTCAGGAGGTTGATCTTACAGAGATACCATATTTCACCGCATAATCGTCGCAGATTTTATGCCTATTTCCTCCCCTTAAAAATGGGGGTGCAACCATTATGCAGTGTGCAACCATTATGCAAAGCTTTATGGCTTGCGACATTACATGCGACCATTGTGCGCGGCTTTTATGAAAAAAAGATACACGCGACAATAATGTGAGGCTTTCTTTAACTTTTTTTTTTTATCCTTTATTTTTGTAGTGTAGTGATACACAAAATATGATAGGTAACATTGGTGGAAGGATTCCAAAGGCGTGTCAAACATTACTTAAATGATTTAGAAATGCAAAATTAAAGTTCAAATTACAGCAGTGATCTTACACTTAAAGTCTCACATCAAAAATAGCAATGGATAATAAGATCTCTGCTATTCTACCAGTGTGATTTTTTTTTTTTTTTACTCTTTAATGGCACACAAGTGGTTAAACTTAAAGTGGTTGAGACAGTTAACTTAACCTTGACTCAACTGCCCCATAAACAAATAGGTGACAAGTTCAAGGTATGGTAATTAACCTTAGCTTGAAACAGCACAACCATGGCAGTGCAGCTCTGTGAAGCAACAAAGATTGATGCCATGGAGCTTGGATGTAGCCCTTAACATACTGATAAACTATATGATATACGTTTATGTAACTAGCTTTCTCATCAAGGAGCCAATGACTGACATCAGGTGATGTTTTCTACTGTAACAGAGTTTGACTCATAGGTCTCTCAACACTGAAAAGGATGATCTAGCCACCTCCACACTCACCTTCATATTTTGATATTGGAGGAGAAGAATGTATCCTGTTTCCATGATGGCCAAGCACCATGGGCCATGGTGTTGTGCTGATGGTGGAGAGTGTGGAGGGGGTTGGATCCTAGCTCTATGGTATCATGACAGGTATACCGTACTGTGGGTCATGGGATTGCCAACCTTTTGATAAAACCAGTGACCTAATAGACAGTGGGAACAAGCATAGAAAGAGGTAAAAAAATAAAACAAACTCTGACATGTCTGACATGTCATGATTCCCTTTTATTCCAGAACTTTGTTCCTTAAGGGGTAAAAGGGTTTGTTCACACATACATTCAGTGGCTGCAATATAGATGTTAGGCCACCAGGAAGTACTACCTGGTCTGTCTTACTTGCATGGATAAATTGCTTCGCTTCATTCACGATCTGACTTCGTAAACTATCTAAAAAGATCATAGCCGGCTGTTTCAGTAGTGCACCTGGTCTTGTGGGAAGATGCAAGTTTTACCGTATCACGTGACCGACAATTCGCGTGCGCAGAGATGCAATGATTACGTGATGAATTTGTTTGTGACCAGTTTTGAACAGAAAAACTAGAGTGCATCGATTATGCGATGGCCGCGAGTATGCAGTGAAATACAGCAAATAATAGAGTCAAATACCAGAGGTGGAGTCCAACTCCTGCCACCCTACAATGTTACCTACTGCTGCTAGTTGTAACAGTACCTATATATTTGCTAAGACTGATACAGTGTGCAGGGGTTATTGCTAATGTTGATGATTGCGACGGACACCTCCGTCAATTGATGCTTCTAGCGCTGCTCAAGGACCATCAGCACCACACTCGACACCATAGGCACCGCAGACTCCACGAACTGCCGTAGCTTGGTTAGGATCTCGCCATCTCCCTCCCACCCTGGGACTCCAACCTCTGGATCCAGGAGCGTGTGGGAAGAACCTCTCCTCCAAGAGAGTCTATCTTCCCAGCAGCAGTGTAAGCCTCAGGGAGAGGAGACCACAGGTCTCTCTCCCCAGCGGCAGCAGGAGTACCAGAAGGACGAGGTAAGTGACCTCTCCCCTCCACAGCCGACTCCTAACTCGGTACTGGGTTTAGTGGCGGAGATGCTAGTCTCCACTGACCACCTCCTAGCAGAAGAGCTTGCATCCGGGCAGAGCACTGCTGGCCTCTGCCCCATCCTCCCCCTTGCTACTGGGCAGGACTATGCCCCGGACCCTCCAGCGGAAGAGCTGGCATCTGGACAGAGCGCAGTTAACCTCTGCCCTCCCTTTTCCCCTTTTCCAGAGCCTGACTACCTGCAGGCTACCCCAGCAGAAGCGCTGGCAACCGGGCAGGGAGCTGCTAGCCTCTGTCCTCCCTGTCCCCTTGTAACAAAGCAGGATTATGTACCCGTCCCCCCAGCAAAAGCGCTGGCAACTGGGCAGAGCGCAGTTTGCCTGTGCCCACCACGTGCTCCCAGCTCCACGTCTAGGAACACCAGAGAGATCAAGGGTGCTGAATCACCACTCAGCAATCTGTGACATACAGGCCAGAGACGGACACCAGGTGCAGTAAATATTTATTGTGGGTGGGCTACTCTTAACTGTATTTTGCGGGTGGGCTATTTGACTGACCGACAGAAGGTCAGGTACCTGGTTAGTCTCCCCCCCACAAAAGGGAGATGTGTGACGAAGTGCCCTTCGCCACTTGTGCTTGGAGAGGACTAATGGCTAGCCTTTTGCCTTGTGACTTTGGCCCCTGGGATATATTGCCTTTTAAAAACTTCATTTGTGCAGATCAGTTTCTAAAACACTGTGTCTGGCCCTTTAAATCCTATGGGAAAGGATCTGCACTTTTGAACTGGCCCTTCGGATACAGCCGAAGTAGTCGTAGTGGCCGCCATTCGACATACGAACACGTGACGGCGGCCATTTTAATTCAGCCGAACGCGTTCAGCGGTGTTTGATAGTAGAGTTCATGAAACTCAAATCGGATACTCGATGGCATGAACACCGACAAACTTTTACCTTCTCTGGAACTTCGACGCTTCGGCGGGAGTCGAACGGAGAGACAAGTTGAGGGTAAGAAGATCTGCTTTATTGAGTGCAAGGGGCATTTCTTTTATACAGTTTTTCCCACAATGTTACCACCCACGTGAAAACACAAACTCAACAACCAATCATTTACAGACACACAGTTAAACATTCCCATTCATTACTGTAAATTCCTCCCCTCTGCTTGGAAGATAATTGAGTTAATCGCTGTATCAACTCAATTATCTCTAAGCCAAAAATATACTTTTTACACAATTTTTATAACATCAAAATTATACATTCAATCCCAATAAAAGTTACATATTCAGAACCAGCATACTTAGGGGACAAACTTATCCAAAAATCATGCGAATTGGTCCAGTGGTTCGGGAAATAGCTGGAAGTCACATTTTGACTGACCGCACGCACATTTTCATGCCCAAAACAGTTCTAGAGCTTTGGGCTGTGCGGCTGGTCCACTCACCATAGTTCAAATACTGTTAAAATGCACGTACGGGGGCCGTTCGTGCAAATAGCAATGTTAATGTGGCGTTTGTATTGTCGAACACCGTTCGACTCCCGCCGAAGCGTCGAAGTTCCAGAGAAGGTAAAAAGGTTCAGCAGTGTTCTTGCTGTTGAGTATCCGATTTGAGTTCCATGAACTCGACTACCAAACACCGGTGAACGTGTTTGGCTGAATTAAAATGGCCGCCACCACGTGTTCGTATGTCGAATGGAGGCCACTTCGACTACTTCGGCACTTCAGCTGTATCCGAAGGGCCAGTTCAAAAGTGCAGATTCTTTTCCGTTTTAGAATCCAATCTGCACAAATGGAGTTTTTAAAAGGCAATACACCCCAGGAGCCATAGTCACAAGGCAAAAGGCTAGCCATTAGTCCTCTCCAAGCAAAAGTTGCGAAGGGCACTTCGTCACAATGATAAGTTTGATAATTTCAATTTGCTAGTACTGAAGTACTGATATCTGCATTAGTACTGTGACAGACCCATCTGTATAACTATTATTGCTGGTTCGTCTAGTTTGCCTTCCTTTCGTGGAATTGCCCGTCCGTATACCCCTATTCGTATGTTTGACTTTTTACCGAATGAACTTACCGAATGGACGGCCACCCAGAAGAGAAGTGTGCTGCTGGTTAACCTCTTGATCCCAATTAGAACGTTGTGGTTAACCGCAGACACCTCTTAATTACAACCAAATGCAGGGTGGTCGTCGTTCGTATGTCGACCACGAGGCGGCGGCCGTTTTAAACCATGCGAAAGACCAGCGGTGCTAAGCGCAGATTCTATGGAACTAAAAACGGACACTCTTTCTGCCGAACACCGCTGAAACCCACAGACCGCCCTTCTCAGTCGACAAGGCATGCGAACACCGGCCGTTTTTGGGAGTTTGGATTATACGAATGGACTTAACCCAGATAGCCTTCCCATGGAGTCAATCGCATACCGAAAGACTGTAATAGACTTTGACTCCATGGCGATTGAACTGTGCGTATGGGATCTGAGCGCTATTCGCTAAG